ATACCATTGATGTTTCACGAGTGTGACAGAAGGCTTCATTTTTTTCACGGTTGTGCAGCCACTCGGTGAATTATGATGAATCGGTTTTGTATTCTGTCATTGGTTAAATTCCGAAAAAGTGTTAATTTAATACTACTAGAAAATGTCAGTTTTGTCTTTCTGAATGTATTTAAAATTTTAACTTTTGTTCAATGAAGAATTCCAAACTTTTCACTAGTTTAAAGTTCGATCTTGAAACAATGGAGGATGACAACACATTCTATTATATAACCTGGCGGAGCTGACTCGTAACATTCGGATTCGAAATTAGATACAAACGTTTTGATGCATGCATGTTCTGACGACAACAATGCTCATTCCTATTGTTTATCTAGCTGGATTTTGAAACAGTGAAGGGACACGTACTAGTTCACAATACCTCTCGTTGTGTGAACATTGTTCTTACTTTTTTTACTCTACACGTATTAATATGCTTGGAATGAACTAACGATGGATGACCTCTGTTGAGTATTAATCTTCTATAAATTAAAAAAAGTAAATTATCGTTACTGCCACGAATTAGCTATGATTATGCCACGATCCTATCATTTTTTAATTTTCTTCTTTCTTTTTCCCCAAAATCATATTAGCGCAATAGAAACGTGCACACTCACCTCACACATTTCAACTTAGAGAAAGAAGAAAAGTCCTGACTTTACAATACGCCTTCGACAAGTTACCTTCATGGAAGCTGACATGCACAGCACGTGTTGTAAATTAACGAACACAGCGGCGATGTGAAACGATGCTCCGAACTACAAGTACAAGACACCTAGCGGGGTTGTCAGTGTCCGATGTCATGTATTGTAGTTAAGGTTTGACCATCTACTATAAAGCCGTACATATAACCATACTTTGCAATTAGTATGTACCTGCAAACAAGTATACCCTAGAATAGCATTGTCGGTAGTAAACACACCCTTGAGAACCATCGTCAGGTGTAAGATAATATACTTTCTGGCAAGTGGTGGTCCCTTTTTCCTGTTTGTTCATTTAAAGTCATGTGGTGTTTTTTTAAATAATTTATTAAAGTACATTTTTACGAATTTTACGAACACGAATACTATTTATTATAAATGAATTTCTCCGCCTCTAAACAGTTGACGAAACCTCACCCAAACCCTGGTATCAAATTCACCTATTCTGTCAAGTTGATGTTTGTTGTTGTTTGTTTGACCAACGGGTAGTTCGGTTATCTAGCAGGCGAAGAGACGTTGTGTGCAGTACAAAGGGAAGTAACTACTTACAAGCAGATCATGGTTTCAACCCTATCCCACTGCAGGCAAATCACGGGTTAACTTCGCACAATTGTTTCCTAAAGAGTATCCTCCCGTTAACTTCGTTTTGGTTATGTAGCTGTAACGCCACTGAGGTCAGGGTACTAAAGTTGACTTGTAGTTTAATTGGTCATAGCGACAATATAATGATAGACTAAATTAGTATATTTGTAGGTCATGGGTTCGAATCCTGGTGTGGCCTCGTTGCATTTTATACTCGGAACGATACTATTTTTCAGGCAATTTTCAGCATTTTTCATCAAAGTTTCCCAAAGGATGTTTTTTGTTTGTTCGGAAATGGAAATTTTAATGCGTAGTTATAGTTTTTGGCAGTTGTATAGGGGTCTTATAGATTGTTAATTTGTGTAAACTACAATATATGCGTTTGAAGCACAGCATACAAGTGCATCAATGTTCTATAAGTGCAACACTGTGTTCGCTCCAGTAGCCTCAAACCACACATCTATAGACGAAACATTTGCGGCAAGAGTAGAAACGATGATTTTTGTCTTTAATCTCTCTCATTACCTACACAGATAAGTTCTGTGATGTCGTTTAGAGTTGAGAAAAATATAAAAACCTGTTACTTCTACCGATGTAATATATTCTAACTAAAAATAAGAAATTTGAAATTAACTTTTCCGCCGTGAAACGTTTATTTGAAAGTGTATTCAATTTTATGATATACCCGACCCCTGACGACAAGTGTATCTCTAACGAAGCCCCGAGATGTTCCAATGAAAATATGACCAGATAACACCAGTCTGTTGATGTGTTTACACGATATGTGTGGTACTTTCTGACATAGCGCGCCTGATAAAGACAGAAAAAACTCTGTTTACACGAAAACTAGGTCAAGTGGTAGCACGTGCTCCAATAATACTGTATAAATAATATGTTTCATTTACAGAATCAAGTAACAAGCAAATCTATATGGGTTGAGAAACTGAAAACACATGCACACGTATTAGCGTAAAACGAAGTAGTAAAACATCAGATACACTTAGTTAAGCCTCATAAGACACACATTTTTAAACATCGAATACCAAGGTAAACATCAGATACACACAGTAAAACATCAGGCTCACGTAGGTAAACATCATATGTATTTAGCAAAACATCAGGTTCATGTAGATTACCATAAGATTCATGTATTTAACAGATACACGTACATTGTAGGTAAATAAGTAAGAGATACCCAAGATTAAACACCAGCTACAGGTATTTAACAGTACACGTAGGTTAATTTCAGATACACGTTCAGTGCACGTTATGTCAAATACAATTACACGTTTAAAATACAAAGTTGAACACAAGATTCACATGGGGAGTAACACGCAGTTAGATATAGGATACTTGAATTTAAACATCGTTTTACGATAAGAAATGACACATGTTGTAGAGTTTAAATTAGACATTGGACACGCCCGTATACGAAAGTTATTCAGTTCGATTTGGATGTCAAAGGAAATATTCTTGACAATTAAAGAGTCGGCCTCGGACATTGCTGTCATGTAAACGAAGCCATCTGTTCATGATGATGAGATGGTTCATTAACTCCAAACGTATGTACGTCAGGTGTGTCAGTGAAAAGTGACGTCATGAGTTTAGGTAACATCTAGGTGAAGGCATGTCAGGACTTTACTCAATCACACCAATTAACTGAGTCTGTACCGAATGGTACCATTCCACAGTGGGTAAACAAGTCGGTGTGAGATTAATGCGCGCTCTTTGGGTTCGAAGATCTTAGTCTCCTGATTCTTGCTTTCGTGTGTCTGGGTCTTTGAAGCTCTTATCTCCTCTGATAATCAGCATTGTTTACAGGATGTCTGGCCTGTAGTTATTGAGTATTACACAATAAGTACAGGATGTTACGTATTAATCTCGTCACGTTCGGAGATGTAGCTCTCATCTATCACCATAACAACGGCCTAACCTGATCAATGATCATGATAACGGTTAGCTCATTTTAATTTCATAACCATATAATCGAAGACAAGATAAGTTTACAAATGTAGATACTTCTTGTAAAATCTGTTCAGTATTAAACGGTATATCACTCGATAATATGCTAATGCAAATAATTAAATTGACTAATTATGAAGTGCACAACACAAATGTGGTTTATAAAAAACTTAACTTTAAGGTTTTGTTGGTAGTGCAACCTTTGGATAATTGCTCGTATTATAATTACACTAATTGATCACAACAGTCAATGGAAAATTCATTAATTATCACCTTTTGAGAGCAAACCTTGTTGATAACGTAACTTAAAGCAGTAAACATCAATGCTAGAAATATGTCAATACTTTAAGAGTGCCAACTTTGCACAAATGAAGTCGTATTCTGGTGCAAATGTAAAAATGCTTGAAGCTGTCTATTACAAAGATTGATAAATAAAAAACAAGCATAAACAGCATAAAATTATCATATTTTGTTATTAAAGCTAACTTTAACAAGAGAAGGCAATTATAACAAGTTACAAGACAAAAGGGAGTATTAGAATACTATGAAACTGAATTACAATACTGAATACTGGTATATCAGACAAACATCCTCAGGTTTATTGGTAAAGCACTACGGCTGTATAAGATACATTAATGTGGAATTTAATACGGAAATAATTTTGTTTGAGAATGTGCGGCTTACCATGGACCTAATACAAGCATATTTAAAATATATTACAACAATTGAAATTGAGTTTTCAATTGTATTGATTCATTACATGTGTGTTTCCAATGTTATATTATCATAAATGTACAGTGTTGAGGAAGGCGTTGAGAACTTCTGCCTAATCGATAACGAAACAGGTATAGACATGTATTAACAAAAATCTATTCAGAACTCTACAACATTTTCTTTTATTAATAGTCACTTAATTCAATGTATCCTTATTTGTATTATATGTTGAAGAAAAGGGAACGCAAACACATTTTCTGCTTATTGGTCTTTTACATTTTAAATTAATGTGTGTAAGATTTCCTCCAATCTCTCTCAGCCATTTCTCCAACCATTCAGCGTAATGGTAACAACACTACCTATGACAGGGGAGATAATTCTGACATGATGCTTGGCTTAGAATAGGGAAAACATCGTTTCCTCCATATTCAAGAATAGTTTATGCTTAAATAGGTAAATGAAAAAAACAAGCGATTACAGTTTCTTAAGAACATGCTTCAATTTCTTACTTGACATTGATATAGAATTGGAGGAAATTGGACGAAACAGAAACACTGACTATTTTCAGCTGTACATCAAACGGTTCCACATACATCTAAAGGTGTAAAATCATATCACCAGTTAGAAGTAGGAAGGCAGCGTTAATGTGCCGAATCTGAGACCTGACGCTATCCTTACTGACGTTTCGTGTGTTTTTGTGGCATATAACGAGAAAAACACACTCATAACTTCACTCACTTCCAAGCACGTCTGTGTTCTCTTTCTGTGTGTGTTGAAGGTTATACAACTGTTCAATATCAGACGGGACATATTCACTTACTGCTATCGGCACCCAACACACTGAGCGACTGCAATATTGTAGAATCTGTTATCTGAGGAATGGCCACTGACGTGGGGAGCCTACTTTCGGTTTTACCACCGCCTACACTCGATGGTGCCAAACGCTGCCGCTAGCCTTACAGTGTTATTGTGTATTTATCTAACTAGGGCTAAGTAAACATCAGGATTATGACTAGCTCGTATTGAAGGAATAACCGCAACGACTGCTTCATTCCTTGTGTTAGAAATACAGCATAAACTTGTGTCGTCTTTTGACGAGGAGAAACTCGTATTCCTACATCATCCCATAATACACACACCAGAGGTGTACTCACGTGTATACTTTACTGCGGAGTTACTTACTCTTTGTAGTGCAGATCCATTCTAACAACGATAACCGGATCACGCGCTGGTACCTTCCAATACTATACTCCTGTATGTGTATCTACCTTTTTATGTCACGTGATAAGTGAAACGCAGATAGAGGCATTTCACTTTTTTAAAGTCCAGCGTATGTTTTCATCCATTTGATGGCATTTTGTTTACAACAGTTTGCATTGTTTCAGGGCCTGATGAGTCGAACCATGAAGATGTGAACGTGTTCCTAGAACCCAATTCGCAGTGACGTGAGGACGGACGGACATCTTATCGACATAGGAACAGACACAGTCCACTATGGTAACTAGCCAACAATTGACCATCACCCTGACAGGAGGAGGACCTTGGGGGTTTCGGCTGATCGGTGGGGAAGAATTCCCATTGCAAATAGCAAAGGTAACTATCTTGTTAATTGTGAAAATGACATGACGTTAAATACAGCATGAAAATTCCTCCAAGGAAGTACGACAGGGTCTAGGACTTACGCAACTAAACCAGTCACTAGGTTATTACTAAGCTGTTTAACTGCTTGCTTTGATGTTGGAGGGTCAACACCAATGACAACTGTCATTTAGAGATGCATACATGAGTAGGCTGCAAAAGACATGTTGTCGGTTTTAATGGCTATGGCAGTGTCGCAACTTTCAGTTGTTGACAACCGGAAGTTTACTAGCAAAACCGGTGAAGCGGGACGGGAATACCCTCTTACTTTTGACCCATTTTGAATCTGCCATCGGATATTAAAATCTATTAAAACTGTACATTTTCCAAAGTTATGTAGAATCTACATGTAGTTTTCATTCAGTAAAATCTGTCAACAATGATACAATTAGATTACTCAGAGGCACAAACGGGAGGAAAAATATAATGTGAAACAGTTGCCGATTGACTGATTTAGTTGCGTTAGTCCTCACTGGTATATTAGTTCAGCAATTAGATCATTTGTAATGTATATGTATGTTTGCTTTGTAGACCGGATTACTTCCCTTTGGAGTTATGTTTACATTGATTTGTTTCCGTGCTTACTTTGCACTTTTGACATATTTGTATTGTTTATTGGATATTTTTACATCGCTTTGTTTTTTACCTTTACCGAGATTCGTTCTAAATATTTTTTCGCTAAATAATTGTTATGCTTACTTTGTTTTATACATGTAGATGTATACTAATGTTGCTTTTGGAATGTTTACAAAAGGTAATTTGATGCAGCTTTTTTTTTAAAAAGGTGATATGTATCATAGTGTTATCTGCCATAGTTAGTGTTATGGTGTTACTAAGTAGCATACTCAGTATAGTGTTGTTGTTTATCATTTATGTACTAGTTGATGTATGTCGCGATATTCTATTCAATATGAAATCACCGAAACAAGCTTTTAAGATCTCAGTTGAAATTGAAATGAAACGTGTATTTATTACCTTACCAAGTATGTAAGTGTCCATCAACAAGTTTCCAATATCAACACAGACCTGAGTCAGGTGATATAACAGGAGGTGATGCAGAACGATCAATACATCGTACTGTGATCATAGGATCGATATTGACACATGTGATGGGCTCATTCTCTATTGATATATTGTATGTGGCTGGAATGTTTTGTTAATATACCTTTTATTCATTTACTGTGAAATGTTAGGTTAATCAATGAAAACAAAATGCATTTTTTTTCTATTGTAAGAAGTAACATTTTTTTTATTAATTGCACACGAAACTGACCAACTAGAGAGAAAGGTTTATCGTGAAAAACACAATTGTCCACTCTGACATCATAATTGCCCGACGGTTTCCCATTGTGACATCGATATATACACGATAATTTTGTTTGACGATTTGGAAAAATATGATAAATGGAATATTCTTGGTATTTTAATGAATAAATCAAACTTTACATTTTTCACTCTTTAAATTATTTCAAAATGTTTATCCTTATAGCGGTCGTGGTCATTTTATGTTGATAATCTATCTTGGTGATATCTAATGGTTTCACATTGAATACCATATATATATTTAAATAATATGACAGAATACCGATAATTTTCAATGGTTCAAAGCACGGGTGGAAATATCAGTATATAAGTATCGTTATGATTTGTCGATACTTTATTTGTGATTGAACAATTTGTATAAATGTTTCATTAATTTTTCATTTTGATAATTTCTGATATTTCAGCGGTACAAATAAAATAAATCGATAAATGTTGTTGAAATCTATATTGATATCTGCTAGTATATTATAGCCTTACATTTGTATATATAGATATCTGTCATACCCGTAAAGTGATCTATTTATATGGCTGTCATGGTAACCTACATGTTGATGTCAGCTGTGTTACTCTTATATAATGTTGATACCTGCCGTTGGAATGCAAGAAGACGTCTGTCGTAGCGACGTATGTAGAAAACCTGCCGTGGTAATTGTTAGTTTGCTCGGGGTTAAACGTCCTGGCAACAGCCAAGGTCATATGGGGACGGGTGTCTTGGAAAAACACAACAACCAAGGTAATATGGGGTCGGCTGTCTTAGGATACAAAACAGCCAAGGTCATATGAAGACGGGTGTCTGGGGAGACACAACAGCCACGGTCATATGTGGACGGGTGTCTGGGGAGACACAACAACCAAGGTCATATGAAGACGGGTGTCTAGGGAGACACAACAGCCAAGGTCATATAGGGACGGGTGTCTGGGGAGACACAACAGCCAAGGTCATATGGGGACGGGTGTCTGGGGAAACACAACAACCAATGTCATATGAAGACGGGTGTCTGGGGAGACACAACAGCCAAGGTCATATGGGGACGGGTGTCTGGGGAGACACAACAACCAAGGTCATATGGGAACGGGTGTCTAGGGAGACTACGGCCAAGGTCATATAGGGACGGGTGCCTGGGGAGACACAACAACCAAGGTCATATGGGGACGGGTGCCTAGGAAGACAACAACCAAGGTCATATGAAGACGGGTGTCTGGGGAGACACAACAGCCAAGGTCATATGGGGACGGGTGTCTGGGGAGACACAACAACCAAGGTCATATGAAGACGGGTGCCTAGGAAGACAACAACCAAGGTCATATGAAGACGGCTGCCGAGGAATATTCTGCAGATTAGAAAGAGTAGAGAAGCCAGATAAGAAAAACATTAGAACCAATCCTTGTAAAGAGGGGATAAGATCAGTTTAGGTTTATTCATTGTCCCCAAGCAGAAGTCACAGAAGATGAACTCCCTATGCTGCCGGGGACTCACATTAGTCGCCTCTGACATACTGTGGGGGAAACAGCAGGCCTCTTCTTTCCCCGAGCCTACAGGAGTCTGTGGTAATCAATGTTTGATATCAGTAGCAATACATAATATATGTCGAAGTGATATCAGAACCACCTTAAAACGCGTTCATTCTTATTGCTAAATCTCTATGGTGTTTTTTAGCAGGCTGCTGCTGTGTATAGTCTGGTACTCAATAGCCTGTTGGAAATGTTTTAGACATATAGATGTGTTTCATATCATTTTGATGCAAACCAGCTCAATTAGCTTTCACATAGAACATATGTTTGGCACGCTGTTATAACATTCACATGTCACGTGTACCCAAACATTACATTAAGAAAGTGCTTTACAATACAATTCATTCTTAATAGCTTACGTCTTCGAAATCATGATACTAACCTAAATAAATACACAAAGATTTATTTTCATAAATCGAAACAAGTAAATAATGCTGATATGAATCAATGATTCATTAATAGAGTAATGTAAAAGTTGTTGATTATTGATAAACAAAAAACAAGTAAAGTATTTCGATAAGTCCTTGTAAAGGTGAGGGCCGATACATATGTAATCTGGGGTGTCTGTGTACATCTGTTGTACATCTCATCACCAGCAAGTATGTAATAATATCAGTAATATATCAGTGTGTTTGTGATGGGCAGCATCTGACGTATTCTCACCAGGTGTATATATATCTTACACTACGTCGCACGCCATGGTCGTATGCACTGTAGTCCAAGCAGCCTCCAAGTACCTATCACACCATGGGCGCGTGTACTGTGGTCGGAACAAACCACGAACTATACTGTATAGTGCGTAACCACACCATGGGGCAGTGTTATGTTAAATGAACACTCTCAATTTAGCACCTTCATTTTGTATGACGGTTCATCTTGATTTGGGTTTTTTTGGACGGTGCTTTGTCTGTTCGCATTGCAAAACAAAAACAAAAATAACGTGTTTTTTTTTGTTTTTTACCTTGTTGAAATTGTATTTTGTTCTGTTTGGAGTTTGAACATGTGCGATGCTTTGCAAGAAAATAAAAGAACCGTCTAGGTATATTCTCTCATTTTCTCATGTGTTTTAATGGTAAGGAATGTATTAAAAAGCATTATTGTGGTAATTAGTTGGGAACAAGTTAAACTTTAGTTGTAACTATAACGTCTGGTAGATGTACCTACCGAATGAGTACGAAAAGCTAGTGTAAAGAGTACTTTCCGATTTTCTTTAAACTACAAGAGCATGATATGAGTAACCCAGGTAAACCGATAAAAGAAGCTATACACATACCATACAAAGACCTTTATTTTGGCGTTATTGATATGCTTACAGGAAGTTCAGGTGATACATTGAGCTAGTCATGTAACACGGCGAATGACAAATATGTGGATTTAATAAATACATAAGACTGTGTCACCCAACACATCCATGGTACTACGGCTGGTTGGAGTGTTTTGTTACAGTATCACTTTTTGCAATACCGTGTAGGTGAGATATTCAGGTAGACACTAAAACACTGGGATGTGTAGGGCGACACTTCCCCTCTGTGTCGGTGTCACACAGGTAATAGTGGTCGATGGTAGTAGACTTATCGGTGCTGTTTCTATTTTGTTACAACTGTTTGGATAGAGAAAGAACTTTCAGGTAAACATTTTATTTTATACATTCGAGTTTTAAAAGCACCCGTATCTGTAAATTATCACATATGTTCACGTTATCTATTTGTTTTAATATATCATTTTGGTGAACATGTATGGCCAAGCGATTTATATGATTGTAGCAGTTATAAATTCATTTTAATTTCATTTTTCTCTATGATGCATTCTGCTTATATCGATTCATTTTCATATACTGTTGATATGTCTTACCTTTATGGTTAGTCAGAGTGATGAGTTGATTTTTCATCATTCATAATTAAAGAAATACAATTGTTCACTATTTATATTTTTAATGAGTTGATGAGCATGGTGTAGGAGAAGAGCTGTATTTGTTATTTGATGAGCATGGTGTAGGAGTATAGCTGTATTTGTTATTTGATGAGTGTCTTTAGTTGTACTTGATGAGATTGTCTTTAATTAGTATGTTATTTATTAATATTATTCAGTTGATGCGTATGTTTTAATTTTAATGTGAATAGTAATTATCATGAGTATAAATATGATGAGTATGTTTTTCAGTATTTATTTGAGATGTGTTTTGATGCTTTTATCGTGAAGAATATTATTTTTTTATGGTTATTATAATTTCATGTTCCCTTTTTTTGTAAATTTCTCATAGTGAAAAAAAACACTTACATCATTTAAAAAACTACAGAATACCAGAGAATAAGAAAACTATAATTTGAACTCAAAATCTGTGGAAATAGTGCAAAACATGACATAAGCTTAAGATATTTTTTCAAGTACCGTTGATAATATGAGGCAAAATCGTGCATATGTTATGTGCAATATCCATACGTTTCCTTTGTTGGCAATAATCAACAAATAATCAACATATCCATCAAAGACACATCTGGTGTATGTGTTTTATCACTAGGTAAAATTGAGTATATAGATCCATTAATAGGGGGGGGGGGGCTGTTATGGCGTTTTCTTTGTCACCATTTGTCAGTATAACCTTTTTCGCTCTGTAACCTAACTGCGGGAGTTGTACTTGGTAAACGGTAGATACCTACATGTATCTGTCATTGGTCAAAGTTCCTGGTTATTCAAACTAAACATCATTCGATACAATTGACTTACGGTTTCAACTTCATAACTTTACTGTTTCTGAATCTTAAAAAGGGTGGTTCAAGATAAAAAAAAATAAAAGACGTGTTATCATAGTTGCTTTAATCACCTCTATATCTGATCTGTATATCTGAAACTACTTTTCTGTATTTAGTATTTGGTGTTAAATAATTGCTTCATTTATTTTGATTTGACAAATGTTCATATTGTCCGACGAATATAACGATAACATGGTCCAAGATTTGCACTGGTTCAGAAGAAACACATGTCTGTTTGACAGAAAGGTTACAACAGAGCGGTCTGTTTGACAGAAAGGTTACAACAACAGAGCGGGTAATGAAGTTTGTCTAATTTTTGAGACAATCTGTCTCTTTATTATGACACATGTATGAAAATATCAAATAACAACATTTGAGACGGAGAAAAAGAGATACTTTAAAATATAGTTATGCTGATGTTAACACAACCCCTCGGACGGATGGGTGCCGAAGACTAGTGATGAAAAATCAATCTTAAGATGGTGCAACAACGTAAACAAAATAATTATATTTCAAGGACAAAACTTTAAACACAGTTGTGGTGGCTTCGACCGTAGCTTAAATATAAAACTGTTTAAATATATCTTAAGTGCTTTATCAACACTACGATTATTGGATATGTTACATTATGTTACTATTATATCAAATTACTTTAAGCACATATACATATAAGTTGTATGTGTATTTTCTACAGTTCACGATCTTTGTGTCCTATCGGGCACTATCAATCGCGATGGAGCCCACATTTCCAGCACGTTTTGCAGAAAAAAGTAATGTTTAATTTCTCAGAAGCTGCCCAAGTATGCTACATTGAAAGGGCAACTTTTAACAAGTATACGACACGAGTGAGAAGTTGGGGATATGTTCATCACATCCTATTTATCTGACCAAAATTGTTTACGTTTCATCTGTGGACCATCATCCATTACCTTTAACATTTCAGCGCGCAATAATAAAATTGTATTAGTCTATTTTATCCCACTATGAATCCATTTGCATCGGCGGCAGTAACGAAATGATAATACAACTATGTTAAAGAGTTCATTTAAAGTAACAATCTCATTCGTAGTCCATGTTCGTTGTTTGACCTGTAAAATCATCCTAGGTCAGGTCAAAGGTGATTAACAAAAAACGGATTGAACATTACAGTAATACAACTGCTACTAAAAATGCATCTTTATCAGTGATGGAACGCACATAGTAACAGAATAATCTTTGCTGCACACGTTTTGCAGAATGTTCCCGGCTGACATTCTCATAGATGGCTAATACTTCATTGTGTATGCTACAAAAATGTGTCTAGATGTTGCAAAATGCGTTCTGGAAATCAGGCGTGCTAACCTAGATTCACATAGAGGAGATAACAGCAAACTAACACTTTTTTTATAAAATGTGTTTGCATATCTTACAAGAAATGTGTATGCTTCAAACATCCTATCACACAGACGCTCAAATAGAAGTTTATACTCTCCCAGCCTCCAAGTATTATTGCAGTTTATCTTTTTCCGATAAGCAATGTTTTTGTTGCCATGAACGTTAGAACTGTTGCCTTTTTGTGTACATAAATATATAGTTCAGCTCTACTACACTGGAGATCCACATGGGGTCATTCGCTAGGTAGAACTATTCCCTTCCTTTTTGTTTTTAAAACGAAGGTTTTTCGATTTTAATCCCCCTTCTATATTTTACGCTGACATAAGAGATATGTTTATTGTTTGTAAGAGTTATCTCCCATATTTTTTAATCATAGCTGTTTGATAATTTATAATTGCTTACCTGATATCATTTTCTTTACCACACATTACGTCATTTATTCATTCTTAAAATATTTGTTGTAGGTGACTGAGTGTGATATTTCGTTCGACAAGTTACATGTCATATTTTCATATACAGTGTTTGTTTCTTATAGATAATTTTTGCTGATTGCTGACTGGAAAAAAAACATGATTAAAAATTACATTTGCATATTTTTCAGAGGTATGATCCTAGGTGTCTTATACGACTGATAATATTGGTGTTTCTCTCACTGACACCTGTTTACCAACAGTGATGCACTGGTAATTTACTGTAGCAACCCACTCATATGGAGAAGCTGCTGGAAACATCATAGATATTTGACAATTTTCCAAATTTTTAATCACGAACATGTTGCAATCATATCATGTGTTAACAGCTGCGAAAAATAACTATTTGAATTATTTAAACATTTCAAGTGATGCTTGTCGGATTTTTAAAAGTTCATGACGACACGTGAGTTAAGAAGTTCGAGGTTATAATGATTTACAGAACGATCAATAGTTTTATGACATTAAACACTGTGACATGTAATTGCATTGTTCATCATACAAGGAAGGTTCCATGCTCGGAACTTATGTTTTCATAATCCAGACAGCTCGCATGTGCCATGGTGTCTACTGTCAAAACGCTTTATCATGGCATTACGTGTGTACTGTCATAACATCATGTACCTCATACACATAGCGAGATTTTTGTATCGAACAAAAATGATAAGATGGATTTCCTCCGCCAGAAATATGAAGTTTTCTCTTCGGTGCTGATTTTGTTATAGTAACGTCTTTGTAATGTTCGTTAAATATGTCGATTTTTTATTAATGTTTGTACAAATCTACTGTGCACAAGTTGTGTTTTATGTGGTTTAAGCTAGATATGTGCGAACCACGCTGATGTGCAGTCACGTGATGTCGATGTTTGAGAGATTTCAGATTTTTAATTGAGTTGTTTAGTTTTTTATTCGTATCAGGACTTTCTATAGAAATGTCCCTCCATTGGGCCTCGTGGGCTTTTTGGGGGATCTTGGTCTTCCAGTTAAACAGTACATATTTGAATATCAATATTAGAGTAAAGTTAGAACATGCTTTTTATCCTAATAACTGTATTCTGACATTGTATTGTTACAGAGGTACTCCAAAGTATGAACTACACATTTATTTTATCATGTTGCTATGACAACGTTTTCTATGGTAACATTGGTTCATTATTGTGTATACACGAAGATGTACTGCTGTCGTATATTCTTAGTAGTTTGCTGCGTTTGACAGTCTACATGAGAAATAGCTTGCAAGGCTTTCGTTTTCTACAGTTAACCGCGCTGGTAGCAACCATCATGAATTCACTTGTTATCTTTCAAAGATGCATGTAACGCAAATCCTGCTTTGAGTTTACAATATGCATGACAGACATTCAAAAGTTTCTGGACGACGTCATATCTAAATGTTATACATTACCTCATATGTATTAAAATAAAGTTACAGTACAGTGAGTCTGACTGTCATCCATTCTAACCACACTCGGAATCTAACAGTTACACCATGTCTGATTGATAGTTATTCAGTGGGAAACTAACAATTATAACAAGAATCTCCTCGGTTTTTGGTGTCATCGCTGACATTCGCTTTTCTCTAAGTGTTCTGATTTTCTGTTGTATATTAAGTCTTTGGGATATAGAGTTATGTAGAAAGTGGGACACATATATATCTCCATTACTCTCAATGTTTGAATCGTTTTTCTGTTGCAGATCCGCAAGAGAAGCAAGGCATGCTCTGGTGGCCTCCAGGAAGGTGACACGGTGGTCTGCATCAATGGCGTCTCTATGCAGGGCAGGTCTCACCCCGACGCCATGTACGAGGTGGACAACGCTGGAGAAAAACTCAACATAGCGGTCCAGAGGTACTTGTTAAGCAACATCACAATCCATAGGCCGCCTCGGAATTTAGATGCAATGTTCATTTTCTGTCCGTGACTCCATTCGTTAATTATACAACCCTCATTGTCATAAATTTTATATCACAAAATTCCAATTCACAACAGGCATCAGCCGAACGTATTATTGTTTTTATCTTAAAACAATGAAATGCCATCGATTTTGTCATGCAATATTCCAGGAATGCAGAGGAGTATGTGAGTGTAACCCCTGGTTCATTGACCAAACATAAATACAAACGGAAGTCCTACTGATATACATTCCCTTTACTTTACTCTATTCATTAATGTTGACACTTTGTGTTAAAACACACCTAGTGCTATATATAATGCGGTGGTTCTTTTGGCATTCATTATATCATGTTAATATAGATCCTTGCCCAATGGTTTATGCTTATTCACTCAATCATCAAAACAAGTAGCCAGAAAAGTAAATACACACTTTGCTACCGTATCACGTTTCGAGCTATGGTATCTAGAACATATGAGCCCTGAGACTTCATCTTTTTTGGAACGAATTACTTTGAGCTAATATCAATGTGCCCTTTTTGTATAAATAACAATTTTTTTCATATTTTTGTTTTTTATTTTTACTCCAAAAGCATTTAAGGACAGATGAAATATGCACAAAATCGCCAAAATCAGTTCGTTTCTCGGACGTATTTGCATTATTAAGCATTTGAGGACACAAACGAGATCCATAACTCATATTTTAGCAATACTTATTCAATCAAGTTGTCTTGGAGAGATTTCCCCAACAATAAGCATAGTTGTAATTTTTGTCTTTAATTTCTTATCGAATTTGTTTACAAAATAAATGTTCACAATCTTAATTATGTGGACATAAAATGTTTTGATAAATACATGTTATTACCTTAATCCGTTAATGATAAGAATAACGCACGGTAATATAAGGGTATGATAAAGCAGACAATTTCCCTACTTTGACTCACACGAGATTTTACTTAATACGGTGGTGTCTTTTGTAAATCAAGATGTAGATCAAAATTACTGGAAATTCATATCTGAAAATCGAACCCTTCGTTCGTTCAACATTTATAGTTAAGCTGTTCGCTGCCCTTTCGAGATTGCATGACTTTCATGATTGAGTAATAATCTTATTTGATTCCTGAAAAGTATACATCGTCATTTGACATTGATTGTGTGGTAATCATTGTTATCTTTGTTACCACAGGGAAGGAGGGTCATTCCAACCTCTTCAGCTAGTCGAGCAAAGAGCACAGCAGCCTGTGGCAGCACCCATGCCGATGAGCAATGGGTATGGAGGAGCACCTGGGCCAAAACCTGTCTCAACCTCTCAGACTTTTCGGGATGGCAAAACTACGACCAACGTGGTGACCGGAACTTATCAACAGACATCTGGAGGCGGCAGCCACCACACCAAGGGATTCGTTAAACAGGTAGTACAGACACAACCAGGGGCAGTGACACGCCAGCAAACGACCACTCGAGTCACCTCCTTCTCTAACCAGGCGTCTAGCAACGAGAGCCCCGTAAGGTTTCAAATCAAGAACCTCCGTAACGAATTCAAGGAGAATTATACTCCGATGATATTCGGACAAGGAACGGAACACACGTATGAAGACTATATGCGGCCCGACGACACAGTCCGTATGCCTCGTGTGTTCATGGTGCGGGACATCAAGGGAACCATTTCCGGGCAGTCCGAGCAGCAACCTAACTACCTTCCCGATGCCATGAACCAGCCGAAGGTACCAAGACCTTTACCACCAAAAGCACCGAAGCCAGTCCGAATGGCACCGGAACAACCTCAATTCAAAGTTCCAGATCAGGTACCACTTCCGGAGTATAAACCAGCTCCTATTCCGGAACCGGTTATACCACAGGCACCACCGCCGCCACTTCAACCACATGAAGTGCCGGAGCCATCAGATCCTGTTTCTTACTACCCGCAGGATGAGCCTCTGTTCTTCCCGCTACCACAGGCACCTTTTGTTAATTTTGACGCGCATGCTTACAACGAACAGATCAGATCGGGAAATTACAATGACGCAGGTGACTACGAAGAAACGCCAGAGGAAATGGAAGAAAGGTTTAAAGGAAAGTGGCCTATTTTTGCACCAAAAGTAGAAATTCATTATGACGAAGAATTTTTACAAAATGGCATGCAGAATGGTTTCATCTTAGAGAGACCAGATATACTTCCCCTTGATCTCAGCCGGAAGTTGAGTGGCGCTGAGATGGACAGCGACCCATATACACCAGGAACCCCCGAGTCGTCCGGTGTACGAAAGAAGAGTGAGTACAGCTCTGTTAAAGTGTTGCGCTTGCAGTGGTTTTGCCGCCTCAATATCTATGATGCATGGTTTGCTTCAATACTACCCCTATGTTTACATCTTTACAAGTTCGCCTTATTAGTCCGAAAGATATAAAAAAAACATGTTCATAACTTCTATGTTATCGTGATGCCCTTTGGCAGTTTAATGCGAATTTCGATCTGAAAAAGAACCATAAACAAAAAGTACATTAACAGCAATTTAGACAGAGTAAGCTATTGTCCTCACACAAATGCCCGGTAATGTGTGACTGTTAATAAGTTTGATCTAATAATAGGATTACCTCCAAGGGGTGTGGTTTCCTATACCTTGTCAGCTTTCACATTGGGTACAGCGTTAGGTGCATATTGTTCATATCGTTTCCCGATCATGATTACTTACTTCATATGTTCTTTTTAAAGAACGCCGTCATTAATAGGTACAATGAGACTGGGTCAGTTTTGTTAGGATAATGAAGTGTGTGTGGTTCAGCAGTAGGTTCGTGTGATGCCTTGCAGCCTTCTGTCTGTTAGCTTGGTGAATGATGCCACTCTCCGCTATTTATTCGTAGCTATCCCGTGCTGCTGACTTGAGGCGTGCTTGGTAGATAGTAAATTATGTGTTAAATTGCTGTCATGGTTACGGTTGTTGCCAGGACTTAACAATTAAAACAGTCCAACTCATTTTATTCTCTGTATTACAATAACAAATGCATTTTAAACAAATCATTTTCTTTTATTTTGGCTGTAAAATTTTATGTCATAATCCTCGGGTATGTAGCCTATCTAGATAAACATATGCAAATCATCGAACATGGCAACATGGCCAAAGCTCTAATACCTGAGATAAAATATAACACACAATGCTATGTGCTATCATTGTTGTAGCTATCGGATGTCCGTCTGTTGCTGGTCATGTTTAACGTATCCTTGTAATTGCATTTCAGCTGTTCACTTTTCGAGCTTCCCGATATTAAAAAGCTGCTGTTTTGCTTAATGTTTTTTTTATATTAATCTATATGGAATATTTATTATCTCAATATTAAGATGAAACATAAAAAGAAAATAAAAGAGTTATTTAACTTGGTTTACAAATTCTACTCCATGGATTAATACTGAAGTCTTACATTTCAATAAAAACGATTAATTAAAAACACAAATTTGATTGCTAATACTTTAAAAGGACTTGTTTTGATAAAGCATTTGATATTTACTTGACACACACGAAAATATCAATACCACAATTTAAGAATATATATGTGGTATCTATTGTAACTGTATTACGTGGTATATATAGTACCTGTATTACGTGGTATCCATAGTAACTGTATTACCTGGTAACTATAGTATCTGTATTACGTGGTATCTATAGTATATGTATTACGTGGTATCTATAGTAACTGTATTACATGGTATATATAGTAACTGCATTACGTGGTATCTATATTATCTGTATTACGTGGTATCCATAGTAACTGTATTACGTGGTATCTATAGTAATTGTATTACGTGGTATATATAGTAACTGTATTACTTGGTATCTATAGTAACTGTATTACGTGGTATCTTTAGTACCTATATAACGTGGTATCTACAGTAACTGTATTTCTTGGTATCCATACCGTTATGACCATAACCTGTATATTTTTCCTTTTCACTTTGGCTGATCTGTGTTTTGTGGCGATCACAGAAGCACACCTAGATCCATATGTAGCATTCAGTGAGTATTTATAAATTAAACCACTACTAGCACTCCGAAAACAAGGGTTGTATGAATATTCCTCGATTTATTTACTTTCACAAATTTAAATTATTTTCTCAATGATTTTTATCCTTTTTTTCCTTTACCTCCCCGTGTTCGTTGCCGATAACAGAGGAGAAATACTATAGTGAGTATGTCCAGGGAAGAATTGATGTCGTACCGTCTCACTAACATCTCGTCCAATTCATCATTACTAATTATATTATTTATTGTATTTTCATTTTCTCAAGAAAACTAAGATTGTTAAGGGGTGACTACGAGCTTTCTGCTACGCTGCCTCACGTGGCTGTATAGAGGCAAACGGCTTCGTTGGTTTATAGGTTCAATGATCTGGAACTTATGTCCTTTGTTATAACGTCTCTCTACACTTGTCATTTGTAGCGAAGACTGAATTTCGAACACAACCATGGTGATAAGAAATAAATGATGAAAGAGTAGACCGTTCCAGCATCAACGCAGATTTGATGTTAACCACCCTTACGCTTTCACCTCTTACGTGGAATTCCAAAGATAACGAATAACTGCACAGACAAATATAACACCATACTAAAGGACGGGTACTGGTTCATAGCTATCAGCTTGATAAACAGTAATGACATTACATTAAGATAAACAGTATATTTCGACGTCATAATAAAAAAATACAACAAGAGAATACCGAAATATAAAAAAAAAAAAAAAATGGAACTTCAGAAATCAATTAATCTTGGGCAAAATGTGGACAAAGGACAGATTTACGCGGAGATCATTGAAAAGTAAAAGGAGAATAAGACCAGGTGATCCGGAAGGAAATCGTCCTTTTGAGCCGTAAAGTGATGATTTTACAATTAACGATATTAAACAAGATACAATAATTCATTAGGACCATTCTACAGAGCACTCCTCCATACACTCTCATCCGTCAGGGTCGTATGGCAAAATTCCAATGAAAACTATCAATTTATTGATTAACATGGATGCTTTGTCCCTCTAATTAATTTTGGATAGCTTTATAAACTCAAACATGTACTCGTAGTTTCGTACATATAATTGCTGTAAACACAAACTATAAGTAAACTTTGTTTATTGTTTATTGATAATAGTAAGTTTATACCAGATTAAATACAATAAAATGTGTAGGGTTCGAAGAAGTCGACATTGGTCAGTGATCCAAACAGTTTACAGATTTGTTTATAAGAATTTAAGGATGAATACAACTCGTTTGCTTCCTGAATGCCTTACCAACAATGTATGGTCATTTTACTGGCGTCATTTGCACCGTGCATTGAGTGATTGTATTCGTTGCAATTTCTGAAGCAAAAGATTTATTTTCGGTCGATAGAGAGAGAAAGAACAACTCAGGAGATCGTCAAGAATGATTATCAATGGAAATCGCCATTATCCAAGTTAATCACTCAATATAATTTTATATTGTGGGGATTATTTTTGTGGTAGATTTTCAAAGAGAAGAAACCATTTTTTTCATGTTAAATAGAAATCTTGCAATTAAATCAGAATACGGATTTGATCACTGTTCTGACGATGTTTTTCTGACATTATCAACTTATCTTATAACCATTGGCGTTAGAGCGAGCGTACATGATATGATACACGAATGCAGTGTATTGTAGTGACAGCTGCAACTGATTTATTTAATCGCATTATTGCGTTTATTGTTACATCATCAATGTTGCAGGTTCAATTAGGACATCAATATTTAGCGTATGGTGTGACTTATCCTAAGACATCATTACAAATTGCTAAGTATGATGTCATCATGTTCTGTGTTGTTATCAAATAACATGTCATCCTCTGAAGATCCTTGAAAGACGCGAAGGCACTATGGTTTGCCTTCTTCTTAGGGGGTAGGGTTGTCAAAAGGGTTTGCTTTTTAATTTTTATTGCTTATATAAGGGTATTTTATTTTTATAATGTCTGTTGCCTGTTTTGTTTTGTAATCGATTCAATGTTACATTTATAATGTATTGGACTTGCATTTCAGCATATGTATAAGTTTATGTAGTATATATAAGCACATGTATGTATATACAATATATATATTGAATGTTCCGTTATACTAACTGAGACATTGATAATGATGCCATTAGTTTAGCCAGTTTGATATGACTGCAAGTTAATTATGACAATCCATTGCGTTATTTCTATTCATTAATACCAGTCTGTTCCTAGTATGCGGTCCTGGACCGTTATATTGCCGTTTTGACATTAAAAACGTTTCTATAATTGAATGTGTTAGATAAGTATTTTCAATAACTTTCTACTTATCTGCACTATGCAGCCTGATGTATCAAATGATAATTGTTTTGCATAACTTACATATCCTGACTTTCTATTTCCATTCCAACCCTTCCTACCACCACCACTACCACATTACCTGGACAATTCCCGACCACAGAAGAAGACAGTAAGTATATAGTTCTTGTTAAACGTAACTGTCTTACGTCATGCACATATGTACGTACAGGGACGTCACGGTATAGTCTAGCTTCGTCAATTTCCTTTGTACTGAAACTGTCATGTACGTGACTGTACGATCTACGTCAGTGCCATATCTACGTCACTGTTCCTTTCTACGTCACTGTTATCACTACGTCACTGTACCTACCTGTTCCACGTCATTGTCCTAAGTCACATTCCCCGTCATGTTAAACAAGTCTGTGCACATTTAGCATGTCTTCCTCCTGTATTATCCAAAATATTCTGTTTCAGTCTCCTTAACTGCCGCCATCGGTACAAAATACAGGAAAACCTCATATACTGCCGTCATCATTAAAGACAACGTAAACCTGTTATACTGCCGTCATCATTTAAGACTAAGTAAACCTGTAATACTGCCATCATCAGTAAAGACTACGTAAATCTGTTATACTGCCGTCATCAGTAAACACTACGTAAACCTGTTATACTGCCGTCATCAGTAAAGATTACGTAAACCTGTTATACTGCCGTCATCAGTAAACACTACGTTAACCTGTTATAGTGCCGTCATCAATAAAGACTACGTGAACCTGTTATACTGCCGTCATCAGTAAACACTACGTAAACCTGTTATACTGCCGTCATCAGTAAAGACTACGTAAACCTGTTATACTGCCGTCATCAGTAAACACTACGTAAACCTGTTATACTGCCGTCATCAGTAAACACTACGTGAACCTGTTATACTGCCGTCATCAGTAAAGACTACGTTAACCTGTTATACTGCCGTCATCAGTAAACACTACGTGAACCTGTTATACTGCCGTCATCAGTAAACACTACGTAAACCTGTTATACTGCCGTCATCAGTAAACACTACGTAAACCTGTTATACTGCCGTCATCAGTAAACACTACGTGAACCTGTTATACTGCCGTCATCAGTAAAGACTACGTGAACCTGTTATACTGCCGTCATCAGTAAACACTACGTGAACCTGTTATACTGCCGTCATCAGTAAACACTACGTAAACCTGTTATACTGCCGTCATCAGTAAACACTACGTGAACCTGTTATACTGCCGTCATCAGTAAAGACTTCATGACCCTGTTATACTGCCGTCATCAATAAAGACTACGTGAACCTGTTATACTGTCGTCATCAGAAAAGACTACATAAACCTGTTATACTGCCGTCATCAGTGAAGACTACGTACACCTGTTATACTGCCGTCATCAATAAATACTACGTGAACCTGTTACACTGCCGTCATCAGTAAAGACTACGTGAACCTGTTATACTGCCGTCATCAGTAAACACTACATAAACCTGTTATACTGCCGTCATCAGTAAACACTACGTGAACCTGTTATACTGCCGTCATCAGTAAACACTACGTAAACCTGCTATACTGCCGTCATCAGTAAACACTACGTGAACCTGTTATACTGCCGTCATCAGTAAACACTACGTAAACCTGTTATACTGCCGTCATCAGTAAACACTACGTGAACCTGTTATACTGCCGTCATCAGTAAACACTACGTGAACCTGTTATACTGCCGTCATCAGTAAACTCTACGTAAACCTGTTATACTGCCGTCATCAATAAAGACTACGTGAACCTGTTATACTGTCGTCATCATTGAACACTACGCGAACCTGTTATACTGCCGTCATCAGTAAACACTACGTGAACCTGTTATTCTGCCGTCATCAGTAAACTCTACGTAAACCTGTTATACTGCCGTCATCAGTAAACACTACGTTAACCTGTTATACTGCCGTCATCATTTAAGACTACATAAACCTGTTATACTGCCGTCATCATTTAAGACTACATAAACCTGTTATACTGCCTTCATCAGTAAAGACCACATACACCGGCTGTTTTAAAACTATTTGAATTCGATTTTCCGTGCTATAGTTTCGACCCTCTTGGGATCAAATCGCGTCGTTCCGATCAGACCTATGTTTAACCAATCATACCCGAATGATGATGATACTGATTACACTGTAGGCGTTCCGATCAGACCTATGTTGATACTGATTACACTGTAGGCGTTCCGACCGATGTTTGACCAATCATACCCGAATGATGATGATACTGATTACACTGTAGGCGTTCCCTATATTGGTGTATTGTGTCCGCTGTTAAGATGGTATAGCTGTATATTTATAGAAATGTGTATTTGTAAATATATATAAGCATGGTTTGCAACACGATTACTTCGAAAATATGTGTATAAATTTGCATTACGGAATATGTTACTACTCAAGTGTCGGCATGGCCGATACCATCCTAATTGTCATAATAGGAATTTCAATTATTAGACATTTGACATTTGTAGTAAAAAAGGATTGTTGTTTTGAGAAAATTATCTTTTTCTGTAAAATGTGTTTTATGTTCGATGATTTACGCCTTTATTGTATTTAGAATGCTGTCACTAAGACGTGTCTGGTGGTAAGAACGTGTGTTTTTTGGGTTACACTGTATTTCCAGTGTCGGTGTTAGTTGCAGGTTGTCATTATCTACCTCTATACGTTAACCTCTGTCTCAGTGTATTGGTGTTGTCAGGGTGTTACCATTACTAAGAACACAAAGCGCAGAGCTGAGTCCTGATATTTGTTGGTATAAGTGTTAGACGCTGTGGCTTCTCACTTCTCTGTGTATCGTTGGGTTAAGTGGAACGGTTCCAAAGAAATAAATTACAGCCCACATGCACCTTTCAATTATACCCATAGCTTGTATATTGTTGTGTCCTTATTCTTTATCATAACACCTCAGTCCAAGGGCAGATGTAATGTAGACAAACCATAGCAACATCATCATCCTGTTGTATTGGTAGGTGTACAGTTAGTATGAGAAAGTCTTGATAGACCATGCGATGTTCAGAGGTCAATTGTGAAGGTCAAGTCCAAGGTCGTCTATACATAATGCATATCTGCATGTCTGAAGTAATGAGTAGGTAATGGGTTCAGGGGCTGTTACCTGTTTATACGCTAGGATCTACAGCGCTGTGATCTCACCGTAATGATGGTTCGGGCGCACGTGTAATCAGCATGCTTTGTAAGTTTCGGTGTACTGATATTAATTGATCAGCGTTAATTTAAATAAGATACCTGCTATTATGAGATAACATTTCAGTTGTAGATTACCGAATTTTCGCTCAAATCAATTGATATAATGATTGCGCTTTTGAGAACTGGGGCCTGCAACGTGAACACTAGCTAATAACTATGTGTAAATACCGTCCCTTATGTAAAAGTATTCGGTGTTCAAGAGATGGGAGGGTTGAGCCTTATGTTAGCGCGTTATATACGACACTGTATGAGGGATGTAAAACTACCCCATAATTTCCCTTCCTATCAATAGATACAATTAATACATTAAGCTAGTTAGTGCTCAAAGATATGGACATCTGGGTCGAGTTAAAGACACTACCTTTTGTCTTTCTTAATTAGTAACATGCAAATAGATACTAACATTCAGTATCTTGCAATGAAGCACGGCGTGGGAACCCGGTTGGCAATTAGCCAATGCATCACTAGGGAGGTCTGACGTCATAAACTGAGATTATGACGTAAATTGGTTGTAGACGCTCCCCGAGCAACTATATAGCAGTATAACCCTGTGGAATCATATCATTCTCAATGGAAACGTATGATGATATATTTTGACCTTTTAACCAGAGACTAATTCATGCCAATATCTACTATTCTGTGACAAGGTTACACATCTAGGCAAATACATCGGCCTTCTCTTACACGTGTATAAACGGGTAGGCAGTGAGCTGTACTTACAAGTGTATATAACAGTTCAAGGTTATCCTGTAACATATGCATGTTCGCTAACATGCTGACGGAAACTTCCTAGAAACATTTGTATACTAATGTTTTATAGCGGTCCTGATTTTAGTTGGTGTATGCCTCGTTGTTGTTTGTCAAATTACTGTCTTCTCAATGCAAAGTTTGTTACATCACGAACATTGCTAAATAACTAGTTATCGCTAATAGCCTTATACAAGCAGTTAGACGTGGAGAGATGATGAAGTCATTCACGGAGGTTTCACATTCTGTTCTACTTTTATAAACTTAGTGCTCCAAATTCGTCGACAGAGATAGTGTTTGCAAATTTACCATCGATATTTGGGACATCACGATAACTGCTTATACCCTGTAGGCTGTTTAATTGTGACAGGTATTTTGTATAATTAATTCACTTGTTGACCCCGACTATTGACCATTCGTTCCGTACTATTATCCGAATGTGGTCGTTAAAATGCCTCAGACACAACTGAATTAATCACTAAAATATGTAATGCTTACATAGCTGTTTCCTTCTGCTGATAATGGCTCATTGTCACCAACAAAATTCGTTAAGGGGGGAAGTAAAAACGTTAAGGTAACCAGACTTTGTCTGTTGGTACTAATGTCTAGGGCTGCCTATCTTTGTTACTTTGATAAATCTCCGGAGAGGTCAGTATCTACAGTTGGAATGTGAAGGTGTAAAATACTCTCTGTTTGCGATAGTATACAGGTGTATAGTCATGAGACGATGGTCGTTATGCGGGATACTAGTGATTCATCCCCTACCCTCTTTTCTATAGCCACCACTTGGCGCGATCTATCCCACTTATATCTAGTTTTGTTTCCTTAAGACCACTAAAAAAAACAAAATGATGAGACAAAAATACCACTAACAGTAACTCGCTGCGGGACTGATTTTGGTGGTGCTGAAGACATGTTTTCCGTTTTATCGCGTTGATATGACATTGACCTCTGTTACCAATTATATACTTCTATTGGCATCTACCTTTACATGTTAGATTATCCCTCTGTGTGTGCGTGTGTACAATCTCTCGTAATCCGCAAGTCCCACGTAACGTTATAGCGACATTGACCTCGTGCAATTGTCCTATTTCATGGACGTAAATCTTAGACTGGCAGATAAATTTCAATAGTAATAACAGATAAACTATTTGTACCAATTAAGTGGTTTTAATTAATTGATCTGTCACGTGTAACGCTTTGATTATTATACTATGTACAAGTCTGAAGTAGCAGAAGAAAAACAATATCAATCAAAGAAAAAGTGCCATTTGCTAGCTTGGTTTCCCGAATTGATCTCAGAATGTCTACGATATATATATTATATACTTTCGCTGCTGTTATAAACGTTACTGAACAAGTTAAATCATTAACTGACGTGAAATACAGAAAACTGATAAAGCCCCAAACGTGTTGTTAACCAGTCCCTAAGTCATCAGAGCCACTGATGTCGATGGTTATGCAGGCATAGGTGCTTCTAAGAATGTACAGATAATTAAACCTGTAGATAAAGTTATTTATATATAAGTGACCTGTTCAAACATCTCCCTTTAATCCAGGTGTAACAAGGTTGGCTGCTGGCGAAGTGGGCCCTGCATCTCAGTAGGAATGCCAGCACTAGCATTGTTAATTACCAAATTCTTGTGAAGATCTGGAAACTATCACGTTTGATCTTTTTGGTAAACAAGATCGACTAGAAGATAGAGAAATGACGTCAAAAACCAAGTTTGATAAAAGATGTAGCATGTTTCAACAAAATAGTTCTTCCTCCTACTGTGTTTAGAACAGGTTGTTCTAGGAGAGACGGGTTTTGGATATATCGAAAGTCGGGAATTAGAGTCTACATTATAAACCGTTCTTCAGATGAAAGTAAGGAACGAACTATGTGTTTGTGTAAAATTTCAATTTGAATTGCCATTAGTCGTATGTGAGAACATTGAGTTGTTCCCAATGAAAACCACTGGTTACTTGGGCCACGGTGAGTTTCAGTCAATGTGGAATATTTCTACGTCTTGATTGTTGCTAAGACTGTGTCGTGTATGTATGTTTAGTGACACGAACCTGGATTTTAAACACAGCATTTCATGTTTACAATTAAGTATTTGACTGTCAAAACGAAGCAGGAAAAGAAGCGAGATTATACTGCCTTTGTTTATAAGTAAGATGTGATTTAGTTGACAGTTGATTGATTGAACCACAGGTAAGAGACACGTGTAAAGGTGAATGTGTGTATGACCAGATTGTAACTAACCATCCGTTCTGTCCCCTACAGAGAAGCTGTACAACGACTCCGCCTTCTATGATGCTCCTGACACGGACTATCCCACCATCGAAGACCAAATCACCCTATGTAAGAAAATCGCGCGTTCGTTGACGTCGGCAGCCAATAAGAAAGCGAGAGGATCCAAGATGTTTGCCAAGCGTAAACGACGTGCTAGCAAATGGATACACGATGGCGAGTCACATATCGGATCGTCTTCAGCCGGGGACGTAGCTGACCTTCACGACCTCGATAGCGAACTTCACCTAAACGAAGGCGGTAGCAACCCACTGTTCTCATTTCGTATACCCAATATTAGGAACCGTATTCTGTTGACAGACGGCGGTACTCCAAAAATGAGTATTTCACAGCAGGAATTTGAACAATTGAGGCTACAACAGAAAAAATGCGAGCACAAGGCAGTGTCTCCGAGTACCTGTCATAGCCTGGTAGCTGACCTGCACAACCAGAGAAACAGGGGAGCGAAATTATTTCAAAAACGTCAAGCAAGGTCAGAGAAATGGGTCATCGACGAAAACAACGCAACGAAACCGATGTTGTCACAACAAAAAATTAATTCATTTTTGGAGTCAACATCATCAGTACAAAACAAGGCCCCCACCCCTTGGGAGGCAGCCCTGGGTAACCCCCAGGGACGTGTGGATAATGCGTTTGACCAAATGGACTATTCAAAACCCACTCCACAGCAAAAATATAGTCCGGCACCCCAGCTGCCACAGCCCGCCCCTCAAGTCGCCCACGACCTCTCGGGAACGCAAAATGTCAGTGTAGTGACTGGGCCAAACTTTAACCGCACCCCCAAGGGATGGGGGTGTGGCCCCCCACCAACAGCTGTTCAGGGTGAGTATACTTGTGTTTGATGCCCTGTTATTTTATAAAGTATAACGGGAAAATATGTATGCTTATTATAACTACTGCCTTAATAACTAATAACACTGACATGTAAAAGTATCGATTTGTATTTAGTTTCTTATTTATATATTGATAATTAAATTTCATTGAACTGTTCCACTTTCAAGTATTTAGTACTCGGAAAACGAAAGTACCACATTTGTGTGACATACTAAGCCTATCACTAACCCACGTGTTTCTTGTTTTGATACTTGATATATGTTATGTCCATCATATACTTGCTGTTTGACTGCTGTAATAGGCTTTTACCGGACATTTGATAATAATACAGCAAAACCGTAACGTAACAGAATGGCTAGAATGTGCGGTGATATTAGGCCACCCTCCAGGCACACTCGATTCAACAACTAACGCCAATAGAGCTGTGCACTAATTGGACCTTACGTGTTTATAGTTGTTGCCAGGGATACCCTCAATATACACATACTTTTCTATCATTTGTATTTATGTTTAACCATACGCCCACGAAAAACACGTGCACGTGTGCAGCAAGTAGCGCAGGAGGTAGGAGACGTAATCTAAAACATCTGTAACAATGTGGCACAGCAGTTTAATAACTGTGGTTATTGTCTACCACAGCATGCTGCAATAGTCCAGTACACAAATAGACCATCACCTGTTTACTGTGTATGTGCGTACACGCCAACTGTTCATCATCATGTCAAAGTAACACCTGCTTCGATTCGAACAGAAAAAAGATCTGTTATTGCAAATATTATTCAATGAAATGCAGTAAAATACAATTTAACAGAGGTTAAATTTTCAAAAGGTGCATTTAGCTGAAATAAAACCCGGAAATTACATATTTTGATTGGATGATAGAATACTTCATACAAAGGAACCAGGTTACACTTCTTCTCTAACATATGAAATGTCGTATTGAACATAGCAATGAGGCGAAAGGGATCTTTGCAGTTTGATTTTTGAAAACAACGAGAGAGTGAAATAACTTTGGGTACATATGGCCGTTAACGTTAACATCAACTCATAGCTTACCATGTTTTGAGAATCAAAGGCATAACATTGATCTAAGAAATTATACTGATAAGTTTAGTTATAAAGAGTTATCTCACAGCTCGTGGCCTTCTGAAAACAAAGAATATCTTCTGATCATCTCAAGGAATCACTAATATACTTCAGAGTTAATTTACACAAACCAAGCTAACAACACCGGTGTCTAGTCAGTCGCAAATGGAACTGGCCATCTTTTTCTGTAAAAGTAGTGATATATGCACTCTTTGCTAGACAAAGTAAACGTACGTTTTCGAAAGCTCGCAGAATAAGTTTTCTGGTACTGTTTGTGTTCCAAACAAACAAAGCATTCATCAGTACGCAATTTGATTTGGTTGTATAAATACTTTAATAAGAAGCAAATACAAAGTTTTTGACTTCCTGTATTGTTATTTTTGATGTTTTAAACTGCCTTACAAAAATGTGCTTTCAAACAATCGTTTGCTGACATCATAAACCTCTGGTTCTCATATAAATAGTCCTCTCCGAGACAGACAAGAAATTAAACAATTGGAAAACACGACGAAGAAATGTATTTGAATTTAAATAAGTCTAATTGGAATTTAAAAAACTACTTTTGGCTGTTAGATGTCAAAATTAATTAAGCTTATTCAAAAATTGTTTCGGAAGTATGAGATTTGTTATATATATCTAAAACAACAATTAGTTAATTCATAATTACAATGGATTAATTTAGTATACCCGGATTTTATACCGTTAAATCCTTATAATCATGCCAAAATTAATACTTTCATATTACAATAAATTCATTTTATTTTTCGATCTTAATGATGTTCCCAAATAGCATAAACACAAACCAGAGTAAATTTGGTTTTGTACCTCTAATGTGTACCCCACTTTGTCAATGATACTTTATTCGTTTCAATATGGAACTCTTCAACATGTAAGTTTCTCCTGTCAATAGTCACACATTCGTATAAATGTCTGTCTTTGATTATAAAGCACTTGTTCTGCCATCCAATAAGAATATGGAACATTGTCATATTTCCCAAAAATGTCCTGATTTTGAAACCTTAATATCTTTAATAACTTTAAATAAATTCATTGTATTCTACAATAAGCCAATTGCAAATAGCAACACTAGCTTTCATTGTTGAAAACAAAGCATAAGTTCAGCGTCGAAATCTAATTGTTCTATATAGTAACAGCTTATCTATAATATCCCAAAGTTAAGCCTATAATAATGACAGGTCTATTTGAGGGCACCTGTCCTAGCATCTACATCTGACTAACAGGCGATGCCATATCACTTGTGCACTGACCACAGTTAAACAGCGTAAATTACGGCATAGAACTATATTCATCGATATCATAATAAAAGTCCGAATGTCTCGCTGTGTTGGTGCACTAGTAGCCGGGTTTGTAACGCCTTTGATATAAGTGCAACTTTCCGATTGCACCGCTATCATAGGTTAAAACATACAGGATCAGTTCCTCTCAACATCACAACCACTGTTGGTGTTAGTTAGGTCACTTCCGTATCATTTAGTGTACACAATCTTAAAGAAACAGGATTACCTGGATCTATTATATTGAAATACCAGAGCTGAATTCATATCGCAGTAAGCCTTATATGAAATAGAAATTTGCCAGAATTTTAAATTATCACTTCGACTGGAAATAAAAGAATGAAAATTCCTAGCGCTCCAGCAACAATGTCCTAATAGTCTAACCAGTTATTGTTTCAATTGGTTACATAGCACAACAACAACAACAATAAAACGTCAACTCAAAAATATACAAAGATAAACGAAACGTTAGCATGACGCCATAAAAAAATCACACAGTATAACACTACGTAAGATACATTTACAAAGCGGTTTCGTGACATCATATAATATTACAAACCGTTTGAATGACATCACATATGATTACAAAACCATAACATGACATTCGTTTTTTACATTACGCGTGTAAGGTACCAGTTATTTAATTGAAAAAAACCCCGATTTAATTACCTTAGTTTTCATTAATTAACTATAACGTTATGTGTCAGATATACACTTCATGATCACATGATCAGATCTAAGCAAGTTAGGGTAAAGCAATTTACTATTGACCTAAACTAATTATTCTCAGCATATTATGTCTGAATAAATGTTTCGCATGAACACCTCAAAAATCAATATAGACTATAAACTGTATGATTTGACATGCATCGTGCCCGATAATTTCCCAAGGCACAGTGTCCTAAAAATGTTCTTGTCCAAACACAGGTACAACTTTCTGAAGGTAAGTGCAATGCGGCACCTCTCATCAGTCTGACTATCCCCACCCTTCCTCCTCCTCCAGCCCCGGGACGGATGACTATCACCCTATCTTGCCCCAGCTCTAAGTGGGGTATTTGTCCATCACCCTCATTGTTCAACACACTCTCCATTGCCCGGTCCTTTGTGTTGTTACACGGCAGACCTTGGTGTCTTGGGTCCAGGCGGTCGTTTTTAATGTGATCATGCATGTTGTTTTTAGTAGATTTTAGCTTAGCTTATCGTTTTTTATTTGATTTTCTCACATCATCATCCATATATGTCTATATCTTGGCATCATCATTATTTTCACATTGAAGCAAACGAGCAAATACCTAACCGCAAACAAAGTTTTCAATTTCATATCTGAAACATCCGCTTTTGCTTTTTCTCTACGCGTCAAATTCTTAATTGTCGTATTTAAGACGATTAATATGATCTATAATTAAAATATTTACAAAATAAAAAAAAATAGAAAAAATTACATGTGTTTTGTGACTGCAATGCAATTTCACTTTTAGTTGTTTCCTGATCATTCTTTGCTGAAATTAAATTTCAATCAATGTATGTATATACAATTTTGCAATTCACGAGTCAAACAAGTATTTGAAATATTGTATGCGACATAAAAAATACGTTGTTTTCACAAAAACCAAAACTTTTCATTTATCATATTATTTTATGTATGTACGTGTGTTTAACGGTATGAGTGCGTATGTATGTATTTTCGCCTAGTCCCGACACACCAAAAATGGTAGGTATCTGTATGTTTTCTGTGTTTATAAATCACAGTTTCGTATTCGTATTCTTGTTCGTAACACCTTTGGTTCATTTACGTTCCATTCAATAACTATTAAAACAGATACTAATTTTACCTCAAGTGTCTAATTATTAACTTTAAAATTAGCAACAATAATTCTGATGATCAGTCTAACTTTGTCTCTTTTGCTGCAGCTGATGAACACCATGGTTACAACACGCTTCGTCGTCAGGTGTCACATAAACAGGAACAGCCCCCGCCTCCCCCGCCAAAGCCTCTCAAGGCAACGCAAGAAAACTACAACCCCAAAATGAGGGCTTGGAACCCGGAAATGAGTGGATCGTATAATCATAATACGTACAATATCGCCAGGTTCCGAGGTCCAGGAGGCAGCGCGGGTCCAGAACAATACGGTCACCGTGCCGCAGATTCGTATCAAAACATGGTGCCGTCACATATGATAATCGCGTCCGATGTGTGATCCTATTAACCTTTTCCACGCCTTTATTCGTATAACTTGGATTATAATGATGACCCTCTAAACACGAGTGAAAGTTGGATATATATATATAGTTCACCTTACTTAAATGTGTGGTTTAATAAGCAAGATTCCAGAAAATCGTGATCATGACTTTTAATTATAGTGTTGTATATATAAGAACTGTGCGTGCGTGTTTGCCTGGATTAATTTAACATAATAAACTAGGACTATAACAGAATAGAAAATCGGCAGAAATGTAAAAAAAAGAAAACCTTGAAACGACTTGAGAGTCTATGCTGTGTGCCTTAATCATATGTCTTCCAACAGGGCTGTTTTGAAACTCGATTCCTGCAATATTAATTGTAGACCAACAACACCTGTATCTGGGCGGTAAAAGAACCACTGCATGAAGAGATTATATGCCGTCTGATGGGGAGAATAGAGGTTTGGGCAGGCGTCCAGATCCCGTTTTATTTTTGCTGTCGTTTGTTACTTATGTTGTTACTATGGATACCTCAAGCATTCCCCTTAGTTTAGTGAGTTTTTTTGGGAGTAGCTACCTCTTGCACTGTGTCTGTGATTCGCACTACCCGGGATTTTGTTTAATGAGAAACTGTCTTTTCTGTAATTTTTCCTTCTCGTTTGTTTGAGGTTATAAGACAAAAAGGATTTAAAGTTCAATATGACCACCAACTCCTCCTTCACCGCCCCTCTGTTGGAGTACTGCCCACGTGTGTGCTATCCTGTACGTGTATACACACGAGAACACACAACCCGTCTGCTGCAACCTATCCGACGAGCTGGATGCACTCTCCAAGGTCTCTGCGAGACAAACGGCCGCGCCTAATAAGGATCTCGTTAATGATATAGCAGCAGTGTCAAATGATAGTACTGACTGAGGTGGAACACGAGATTACCGTCCTTACCCTTATGATGGTACTGACTGAGATAGACCACGAGATTACCGCCCTTACCCTAGTAAATATTTGTGACTGTGGTGTACAAGGCTTGCTGTTCTTATTTCCAGTGACCGCCATCAGTATGCTGTGCACAGCAACATGTACATGAGTTAGTCCCCTTTGTATTGGTGTTAATAGGTTTGGATATGCAAGTTTTACCTATAAAACTGTAAATAATCTTGTTATAATATTTGTAACTAGTTTATTTATTTTATTTGTTTTATTTGTTTGTGAATTAACACATTTTGTATGGAGTTATTAATATATGTTATAACTTATTATATGGTGATCTAAACTATTTATGGAGTATAAAATTCCCTAATTTATTTTCATACTTGCACCTTAGAACGGTGACTTTAAATGCCATTAGTATTTGCCACCCTGAATATAGCAAAATAATCTATCATGTTTTGCTTGTTTTTACTTTTAATGATCCATTTTTGAAATCCATATAGTATCATAAGCTAAAAATAGAACCGTATGACGCCACACCGACCTTGGACCCTAATACATCATGAGTGTGACATCACTGCTGTAGCAGGAAAACGTCTCCTTTCGTTCATTGTTTTCGTCAGACCAGGCACCTTAGGTCAGGTGCACGAGTCATACGGTTCTAACCATCAAAGTATAAAAATAAGCAAAATTTGGGGTTTTTTCATCACATGACAAATGTGTGTGGACACAATGCCAACATTTTGACAGGAATGTTTTGTATCATTAACCAGCATTAATATCTATTTATATCATTTTACAAATTTCCCGATTGATGTCATAATCCAAGTCGCCCGGATGTTTGGTGCATGTCCTGGTAACCTTGTTGTCCACACTTCCATCGTTGTATAGTTTCACACTGTACAGCGTGCCCTGGAGAATTGCGGTCAAAAATAAAGAGAGTTAACGAAAAGTTACGCTCTGCTGTTGAGCTTTCTGCAGACAGACATCCGGGCGATTGCGATTGTTGTGTAGTCTGATGATGAATGAGATTGTCCTATTTGGGTGAAGATACAATGCCAAATTGATAGGACACCTGTCAACATCAACATCTGCTTTCGATAGTCCACTGATGTAGTACTACATCCAGTGCATGCCGTTGGCCTTTAACACAAAATAAACAAAAAATATCGAAAAATCTCTGTTGAATTGTTTTATATGTAAACAGCTATATTCATTTTGTCAAGCCTTATTGCAAGAAAGCCTTGTTTGGCTGACACCTCATTTGTCAATGGATGAAAGTACGCCTATTTGTTCTAATTATGGTCGACATATTTCATGACTTTCGCAGATTATTTTCATATAAATGTTAGTGTTCGTTATATAATCAAGTGTGATCATATTTTACGCTCAAAATACTTGTTAATCAAATAAATATAAATATACCAATAGATATTGGAACTGAAATCTTTTGAAACTGTTTATGATGTTTCGAATCATTACACTCTGTATAGTATACGTATAATGTGAATTGAAGCAATATACCAAGGTTTATTGTTTGATTTCCTTAGAATCAGTAACAAGTCCAGCTAGTGAGTTATCTAAATTTGTGTTATTATCTTCCTTGAATATCAATATTTTCATTTATCAATACAACTTCGAATCAACATATCTTCGTGACATTCAATGTTTTGAGATTTCTTTTCGCAGTAGCTGTACGTATTATCGGTTAAAGTACTTTATTTATATGTTATACTCCAGAAACCAAAATGGCTTTAATGCGGAGGGGTATAGTTACCTTATGCTCCCAAAAACATGAATTCTGTTCGATCTTTTGTTTAAATGTCTCCTCTGGTGACATCTGATGACCTGCACTGATATCAACTAACACAATTCAGTATCAACCTTTATCAAAACCTGTTCGTTTTTGATGACATATTTTCCTAGACGAGTGTCGAATATGATGCTTTTCCTTCCGCGCAAATGTTTTCTTCTTCTTTTCCTTCAATGTGGCAACTCATATTTTCGCTATTTTTTTCCTCGTGAAAGTTCTTAATGTCATCGTATACTGTCCAAGAATTACAAACAATGTACTACAGCGTGGAAATGCCCTACCCATAAATAAGATCTTATGACGTTATTGTGGCGAGGTGTCCCATTTAGACACAAAAAGCACATAGAACCCATCGAGAGATGAAGTGAGTGATCGGACAACTAATACATAAAACTCTAGTGTTGTTATTAAAGGTTTAGTAAAGATAATTTACAAATCAAAAGTCTCTGAAAGCCGTGGAATCATACTTTTACTTTTGAAAAGGGATCAACTCTCTCAGAGAAGTTGATTTGAAAAGGATTAAAACCACTGTTGCATATGTGCGAACAAAGATATTGTAACAAACACACAGGGTTAAACCTAAAACCATAAAGCAATATCAAATACCAGATCATGTTTCGGCTGACACTAATTCAGGTCATAATACATTATTCTATCTCTTTGAAGATACGCAGGATAGTATTAGCCAAAAACATTATTGTTACGGTGGAGATCTACAGCACATAACCCGGTGGTCAATCTACAGAATAATATTAACCAAAGTAATCATAATCGGAATTTGAAGATCAACAGAACAGTATAAGACGTCAAGGAATATCCATACTCTGAGGATAAACACCCACAGTACAATATTAGACATCACGGAATATCCATACTCTGAGGATAAACACTCACAGTACAATATTAGACATCACGGAATATCCATACTCTGAGGATAAACACTCACAGTACAATATTAGACGTCACGGAATAGCCATACTCTGAGGCTAAACACCCATAGTACAATATTACACGTCACGGAATAGTCATACTCTGAGGCTAAACCCCCATAGTACAATATAAGACGTCACGGAATAGTCATACTCTGAGAATAAACACCCATAGTACAATATTAGACGTCACGGAATAGCCATACTCTGAGGATAAACACCCATAGTACAATATTAGACGTCACCGAATAGCCATACTCTGAGGTTAAACACCCATAGTACAATATTAGACGTCACGGAATAGTCGTACTCTGAGGATAAACACCCATAGTACAATATTAGACGTCACGGAATAGCCACACTCTGAGAATAAACACCCACAGTACAATATAATACAAAGCAGTGCTACTTATGTTTATGTTTTCATAAATGAAGGATACAAAAGAGAAACAATTTATACTTATGAATTAATGAGTATTTTATTTTTTAAATCTCGTACTACAGTCTTAAATAATATCATAAGCACAAACCAACTTTACATTCCACATTGTGATTCAAGCTCTACCCAATTCAAAGAAACGTTTTTGATTTGAATCAAATCAACCTCTTTCCAATTTTAACTTGACAAAGATAAAGATGAATTTTACGCCGTTAACTGCTGTGCTAGTAGGATAGTTACTATTACAATTTTAATATAAAAAGTGTGGTCTTCCTTCGTCGTTTCTGTTTTAGTGTTACGTATATATGCATATAATTCGTATTTTAAACCTATGGATTAATCATTTTACATTGTGTATATTAATTTGTTAAATAAAAATGAAACACAAATGACGACGGGAAACAATTAATGACACTCGTGCCCTGCCAGGGAATCGATCATATCTTATAAATAATTTAGGGAAAACAAGAGAGTAGGACATTTTTTTAACTCGTGCCCTATCCGGGACTCGGACCCGCGACCTACGGCACTGATCGCCTAGCCTAGAAATATGAGTTTCTTCCACCACATCACTTCGACTATATTAAAAAGAATGTTTTGTTTACGTAACGGTCGTCAACAGATCGACACTTTCAAGGGGGTCATAGTGACACTTAGTCTATTAATGATACGAGTACATGGATTGCAATGTAAAGATATATACATGAATACGAATTGTACAAGTATTATTTGATATTAGATATAGTACAATAACGACGGGAAGACAATGTCTTAATCTTCGGATCAATATACACTATACACTGTGTTTATAAATTGGATGAATAACATAGAAACAAACATATTCATATCTACGAAAAATCAAAACAAACGAAAAGGTTCTTACAAAGCAATTTTTTCAATGTTTTCAGTTATTTCGATTTAAAGTTAAGCGATGAAAATAAGAAAATATACAGTCTAAATTGGGATTGTTTCTCAAATTTGTTTTCCACATTGACAACATAACAAAATAGTCCTAATTATTGCAGTATAATGTACTGATATTTTGTCTTTCGAGCGGCGAATGTATTTTGTATAATCCCAATCGATTTGTATAACAAATTACATATCGATATACATGTCAACTTGTATTATAGACACATTATAACATACATGATCGATACAATATACTAAACGTTTAAGATGAAAACATGTTCTCAAACAAGCTATGACGCTTTGAAGGGAAATTGAGATTCGTGTATAACTCCTGTCTTTATAAAACGATAACAAAACATTTTAAAAAAAACACTCAATTATGATAAAAGCTGCCTGATTAACGATTTCTGATCAAATATAAATTTATGTTGATTTTCAAATTCATTACAAGTAGCTTATAACATTTCAATGTAGATTATAGCATACAATTGCCTTGTAATCCGTCCGGTGATCTTTTGAAACAACACTGTCAAAATGCACTTTACCACTACATAGCCAAACCATTCAAGGTTATAGTTGTTTAGCAATTACGTGATTGTACTTGCCTGTGACGAATTATCTACATTGTCTAACGTTTGTAGTTATACGAACCGATACGACGTCCACATTTTGCTGGAGAACAGTTCCACGTAAGTAAAACCGTATCCTGTCAACAGTTCCATACCATAATGTTCTAAGTTATATGCTCTGACCAAATCTCCTTATACACATGAACAGTTCGGTTAAGAACATTTGAAATAATCTTCACACGAACATTTCGGAGAGGTGAATGAGATTCTCTACTCTCGGTGGCGATCAGGTGGTATTCGGTAGTCACCTAGTAGAAGGACGTACGCCGACTAGCTCCATGCGTGGCTACCCTGCTGTGAAGGGCCTTTGTGTATCGACTGGGGTTGTCAATTTTCAAATTCAAATGTTCAAGATGTCTCCTTCATCCGGCTTTGGCATTTCTGGCATGAACGAGCTTTACATGGACTCCGTCTTTTGGAACGATGGCTCCGCGACAAAGAAGGTTCAGGTCGTCCTGAAATAATTACGCTGTATGTTAAAACGGGTGTTCTATCATGTTTTGTTAAAAACGATAGAAGTATTTTCAATAAAACTAATATAAATACGAACTGCATATAGTATTCACTTATTGATTACTTAAGTTGAGCACAAATAGTGTAACGCATGACTATTATTTCTTTAAAAGTAACTCTATACATGTATAAGGAAGACATAATATATTAACGGATTCCTTTATATTGGTGATGTGACATGTTATTACCTGTGAGGAGTTGGCGGGTTTCAGTTCATAATCCTTGATGATACGAGCAACAGCGATCTTGGTTTCCAGCATTGCAAAGCGGGACCCAATACAGTTCCGTGGACCAGCCCCAAAAGGCATGAATGTATACGGACGGATCTGAGACTTGTTTTCCGGGGAAAACCTGTATATGAAAATAAACATTTTCATTACAAATTAATAAAAATAAATAAAAATGTTTTGCATTTAAAGTAAATTTTTTACTCTATTTTCATCATTATCTATACTTTCTAAATTATGTCTCTGAAAGATTAGTAACTTAACACTTGAATGCGTATTGTAATGTGGCACTATATAAATTTAAAGTTATACAAGATTTGATTGCAATTGAGAGCTTACCGTTCTGGCATAAATTTCTCTGGGTGGTCCCAGAATTGAGTGTCATGGTGAAGTCCCCACACGTCCACCTGTACATTCATACCAGTCGGAATATACACGTGTCCGTACGTGCGAGCAGCAGCTGCTTGTCGTGTGACGATCCTGCGGATAAACACAAAAGTTTATTTATCTTATTTTTAAAATTATGTTGATGTCAAATCAAAATCGGAAAGCAATTTAATTTCAGTGTATTTTGATTTGTGTTAGTATTCATTCCATATGAATTATTCCGATGACGACAATAATATATTGATTTGTGTATAAGATGATATACTTACAGTGAGGCGGTTGGGTACAGGCGGCAAACCTCGTCAAACACCATGTCTAAATAGGGTAGCTTTTGGACCGACTGGTAACTGATTTTCTCCTGTAAGGATAAATATTTAGGTTAGGAATTGTACCCATATGCATCTCATTTACATGCTATTTAGGTTACTCCAATTCACTGCCTTACTTCATACATTATACAGGTAACTCATATTCAGCTTACACGCTATGGGGCTAGTTTGTTTCGTTATCATTCTTTCTTGTGAAACAATCTGTGAAATTGTGCAAAAATCATCCAGATAATATTCAAACGTCATTAAATGATAGGTAAGTACTTACTTGTCCGAGCTGTTTGATTTCTCTACGGATACGTCTTTGGGCTTCTGGATTCTTGGCAAGTAAGTGGCAGTGGAAAGCCAGAACGGCGCTTGTTGTTTCGTATCCAGCAAGCAAGAACGTCAGGCTTTGTGCAACAATTTCTCTGTCGGTCATTTTCTGGTGTTTGTCGGAATGAAACAGCATCTGTTGCATCAGGTCAGTCACAGATCCATCATTCTAAAAAGTCCAAATTGACAATATTCATAAATTTAATGTTTTTCATTTTGAAAAACTTCCTATATCACTGATGGCAAAGCGAATGTAAGAAGACTTAGTGAGTAAACCTAATTAGCTATACATACCCCAATCTCTCGCCTGATTCGGATGACCTCGATGATCTGATGTCGCAACCAAGACACAGGGTTCATGCCAATAGCGAGTACCACATTCTTAATGGCGAATATGAAGTACTGAACGAATGGGAATAGCACTGAAACACAACATTTACACGTGATCAGAACGTACTTATATCGGCAGATTATAATGTTTACACACGTAGTCTCACATGAAAGATAACGATTTCAAAATCATGCGTCAAAAGGAAAAGTTTAAAAAAAGATGTTTAGTTTGTGGACACTTACTGACTATTGGAAGGATGACTGTGGTGCTCATGTTTCTAAATAAAGACTGGATGTTATTGAGGAAAGCATCAGACAAGTCCAGCTGAGCGTTTGTATGGAGGCCGAAGGCGCAACGCCCTATCACATCTAGAGTCAGGCTTTGGAATTGTCTAAACGAAAGAAAAAATCACTTATTGTTTGTATTGGAGAATATGAAAAATGTGCTCATCATCTATGATAATTATGAACATTATGGTCATTTAAAGATGCAATTCTCATATTAGTTTTAATTGAAAATATTCAGTATCAATCTGTGAATTGTGCAAATAATTCTGTATACAAATCATGTAGTGGTAGCAAAACATTGAATATTTACAGAAAAAAAGTGTATACATAAAGTAATTACATTGAATATGTACAAACAAATATTATATACATAAGGTAATAACATTGAATATGTACAAACAAATATTATATACATAAGGTAATATAATTGCATATGCGTACCTGTAGATGTCGAAGTAGATGCCCTTGTCCTGCTGCGTGCCGAGGTTTTGGAGAAGTTTGTCTATCTGCTGTTCCATTACAACCGTCATTGTCCTCAGCTTGCTGGTGCTGAATGCGGGCGATAGGATGCTGCGACTGCGGCGCCATTGATGACCGTTTTCCAGGAACAGACCGAGACTCTTCCTAGGGGCCAGGGGGAACGGCTGTAACAGGCAGCAAATGATATAGTACTTCTTCTATGGGTTATGCATACTCTCATTGTAATGTTGACGAATAGTGATTTACAGAACAACCAATTGATGGAGTGTGTGCATAAATACATTAATGCTACAGGACGGTTTAAATAGATAAATATTCAAGCTGTATGTGGTTGGTATATTCTTTGTATTCTGTAAGATAAATTCATTATTTCTGTTGATAGTGGATAATGTATATATACATTTACATATATTATACCAAGGTTGATTGATCACAGGGCAACAAATGTCCAGGGACTTCATGTGGTCATGACACTTAAGGTATGATGGAGTAATGTAAATCAATAGTTTTAATTTATTTAATTATTGAAAAACTGATAATTTATTATGAAATACCAAAATGCCATATATTTGTATCCTTATCATATTTAATGCCCAACTGAACATTCATTTAAAACAAATAAAAACTGCATTAAATAAACCAACAAACCCATGCCAGTAGATACAAATGTGGTGTTAGAGTGTATGAGTGAGTGAGATTATTTTGTGTTCTTATATAATAATTAATGTCTTCTTTTTGTGTTTTCATATTTTTTTTATATTTTTTTTTATTTTTTTCTGTTTTCTTTTAGTTAATTTTCTATATGATTTTCCAACTCATCTCAAGACATGTCTACTTCAAATAAGTCCTGGTACATTTCTTTATCAGCATACATGCATGTATCAGTTTTGCCGTAGCAAATTTTAGTTGCTCAAGGTAAAGACGTATATCCATATATTTAATTCGATTTGGAATACTGTGTATATTAATAACGGTATATGTAATTCTTCTTGACACAAATTTTACAACTATATTAAATATTAATATCTCAAAGTTTGTACTTTTTTTAAAACAAATACTATTTTTTCCAAGGATTTTTTTTTATCTTAAGTATCACATGAAATAATGTGGGGGTTTTATGGTGGTTTTTTTTTTTTTGTAGAAACATGAAAATATTAATCCAGCCTAATTAAATGTACATTACCTAGCAATAAATGTATCCAAGTGCCATGTGATGAGTTGAAATAAAATGTATGTATGTAAATATTGTATTGTATATCAAAAGTATGCTCGAAGCCATGGAGAGCTTATATAGGCAAAGCCTGTTGCTCAATCCTTTTGTTTAATCAATAAAGTATGTTTGAAATGAAACGAATGGAGCTAAATTTAAATAAAAACATATTGTAATTTAACTGTTTCAAAATATTTTTCTTTATTTTATATGTACCTTTCTCGCCTGGAAATTTGTGAAGTCTTTTACCAGTACCTCCCTTACGACGGCTGGATCACTGATTGAAAGAACAGGAGTAAATCCCTCGAAATATCTGAACAACAAAAAGAGAAACCATGAAGTCTCAGAACCTATTAGCTATAATTCGATGTAGATAAAGATGATATAATCCGTGGTTTGCGAGATAGTGATACCTGCATCAGTTTGTACATTGAACTAGATATACATACCCATATACAAGAGCTGATATAATGAACAAAATAGAACGTTTAAAGAACAGTCGCGGAAGATATAGGTTAAAAATTATTTATAGGACAATAACATTAACAAATTTACTGAAATAAAACATAAAGCAATCCAAACCAATTATTTCGACAGCATATATTCTGCACATTTATACCAAAAAATAATTTTAAGATGCTTACCCAAAGGCTTTTCCATAAGTCTTCCTCCAGTCAATAATTGCTTGGAGCTGCCCCTAAAAAAAACAATAAATATTATGTACACTTGTAATCTATACAAAAAATAGTGCCTGGCTCATCCTTAAATAGCCATATCATTTAATTGGAAGTAAAGCTCAATCAAACCTAGCCCCACTAAAGATAGAATTTCAATCAAAACGTAAAAATCAGAACAGGTCTTTTCAAAAACATTTGGACGAAAGAACATATTAAGAAATCTACAACATGTTAATTATTAAATTGGGAAGTCTTACTAAAATATCCGTACCTTTTTCATTATTTCGATGATGTTTCCTAGAAGAAACACAGGTTTCGGCCCGGGTATTCCATATCGCTCAAACACACCGAAGTGAAGTTTCAAATACCTGTAAGTGTAAGATATTACAATTTACATGTGTAATCAATATTTCAATATGACTGTTATTTTTAAATCACGGAACAAAGTACACGTAAATGACAAGTTACCTGGCTATACATACCAGTATGCTAAAACAGAGACCAATACCATCAGTACCAGAGAAAGTGCCATGTTAGTTTGTAAAATAATGTAATGTAATCCGTAGCTAGTGTTCCAAGTAAATGATGGAATTATGAATTGGTCGAAACCTTTTATATGCGATCGGTTTTAGTACCCTGTGTCTACTTGGTGTGGAGGGAAGGGCTTGTGCTGATATCCTTGCTGGTAAGGGGGTACCTCCCTTATCACATCCTTTATACACTTAGCTATCTTAGGACAAACACTTCACGTCTATATTAGGTAACTGCCGAATAAATATAGAAACACTGGTCAAATTTAGTAACATTTTGGCTATTTGTAAGACGTGTACTTCAAATGAATGTTAGACTACTAGGGGGTTATAATGATAATATTTAAATTCTCTCTTCTGATAATTCTAAATATGGAAGCTACACTTGAGACTTTGAGATCCCTGTTGATTATAACGGGTATCGTCCTTTAACGAGTCGCGACCCTCACTCAGATTTGTGTTTTGAACACCACACATAACGAGTTTGTTTAGGAGTAATTGCATCCTGTAACAACATTAAAAATATTATAGAAATATGAAATGTTGAAAAAAAAATGCTGTCCGGAGCAGTTTTATTTCAAGTTTTTTGTTTTTATGAATTAATAGAACAAAAACAAATTTGTTTGTTTTCGAGAAAAACTTCGATGAATATAACTTACATTATTACGGCTATATAGGATTATTTTGGCTAAAGGAGTCAAATATTTCACAACTTTCTCTTATTCATCTATGATTTTAATTTAGCAGTGCTATCATATACTAAATCAATTTTAATATATATGCTATTAGTTATATTGCATTATTATCTTATGTTTTTTTACGATTTACAGATACAGTTATATTCAGATATGTTCTGCATTCATATTGTAATGAAAACACATTTCAACAGAATATATTTTGAAATGCATCCTTCGACAAAAATCATCATGTATTAGCTTGTCCAACACTCACAACATATCTTATTATGTTTAATAAAACTATAGGGGTATGTTTGTTATACCATGTATTCCCCTCATTCATTTATATAATAAAATAATGAAACAAACTGTGGTTGCATTCTCCCAATTATAAACTTTCGTACTGTTGAGCCGCTACAGGTAAACGCGCCGTCATATTTGGTGAGCTTTCTATAATTTGTGAATCCTTTTGGTTGGTTTGTATATAAGACATCATTAACTATCCCGCAAGAATAAAAGCGGCATTTAAAATGGATGCATTTTTTTAGAGACAACATAGAGTATGCTGCATCCTACATTAGCTTTAGATAAATATTTATGAAACCAAAATTTTAACAAAAGATACAAAACGGTTGTTAACTTGTTTTTTTACCAGCATGTGTGTTTGTTTATTTTTTCTTGGTTGGACCCTCAGCCCTAATTCCTCTCTACCCATTTGGTCCAACAAAATATATGTTGCCTTCAAGTCCATTCAATTAGGACACACTATCTCTCGTGCTTAATCAAAATTCGAATTTCATTGAAGGGATGTTTTGGAGAAAACTGTTATGTCAAAAGATGATTTACATCTTGAAATGTGACATAGCGGTTTATAATGCTGAATGGTCGCGATTAATTACCACAATAATATGACAGTATTTCAACGCAATAAAGATTATGTATCATCATGAAAACAGTAGTAGGAAATATAAGTGAACAAAATGTCGTTTTTACTCAAATCAGCATTTCACGTTAGCTATAATAAAATCATTGACAAAGTCAAATTTGGTAATAGATACAGTATGGTAATAGATACATAAGGGTAATAGATACAGTATGGTAATAGATACAGTATGGTTATAGATACAGTATGGCAATAGATACAGTATGGCAATAGATACAGTATGGTAATAGATACAGTATGGTAATAGATACAGCATGGTAATAGATACAGTATGGTAATAGATACAGTATGGTAATAGATACAGCATGGTAATAGATACAGTATGGTAATAGATACAGTATGGTAATAGATACAGTATGCCAAAAATGAATTGCGCTGCATCACACAGCTGTTTCGTCCTTCTAGGTCTCATCGGTGATGCTTAGGGCCAAAATAAGGTAAATATCCAAAAAGATTTAACTATTGTTGAAACAGAAGGGGAGGTGCGTAAACTACCTTAATGATAGGAATTTCAAAAAATCATTTCTGTTTATTTTCCAAATCATTAATGAGTAAAGATTTTTTAGTACATGTATAAGCCATGTCTCTACTGAAAGGAACATTATTAGCAGGTTAATGCAGAGAGCTATACAACGCTGCACCACATGGTTACCTCCTCTAAGTAGGCCTCACCAGTGGTACTAAAGTTCAAGGATCGAAAATCCATGATTTCGAAATATATGTAGAAAATAGGGTAAAAATGCCTATAAAAACTCTTTATAATCTTACAAATTGATAATTCTCAACAACAAATGATATTCTATTCTTAAATCTATATGCATATTTGCCAAGCCTGAATAAATCCCAACTGACACGCTACGTCCACCAGCAGTCAACCACCTTCTAACGTAAAACAACTTCTAGAAAACCGAAGGAAGGAAACACTTACATATATTTAGCAAGTCGATGCAGGGAGTCAGTCAAAGTAAATATTTGTCTATTTCGTCAATTTAAGACTCATTAGTGGCACTTAAGGTTAAAAGACTCAAATTCATGTTTGTTTGCTTGTTTGTTTCTTTGAGGTTTGAATCTTTGCAATAGATATGACCATATAAGACGGATACCTAGAGAGCCGTCGACAAAAAAGAAAGAGCAAAAAAGTGAGAAATGAAAATACACAGATCAGTTGATTTGCAATGAGGGCGGAAGATCAGTTTTGGTCTCTTCATTGTCCCATTAGCTGAAAGCGCAAAAGAAACTTATTCCTACAGGGGCCCTACATTAGTTGCCTCATACCTACCTGCTGTGCAATATTGCAAGTCCATTCTTACAAACACCTGCACCAGTGAGTAGCACGATCAACTGGTGGTTGTGGTTTTTTTTGAAATACGTGTTAACGATTAAAACCTTCTTGCAAACAATTAAAAGTCATTTCCACATTAATCTCTAAAACATTTTGTTATTTTCAGGTTGCATGCTTACATCGTGACTAAACGCTTGCACCATAACCGTACTTGATTAAGAACAAGAAAAAAGCATGGCAGCATGTAAGGATCTGGTAGTTGTATAGATATAAATGGCTCGAGGGGACGTCAGTACACGTGAATTTAGGACACATGTCATTGAAAACACTAGAAATTTCTACTGTAGTTTTCCAAACATACATTAGCCCTCCTTAATTATGCTTTGGATGTATGACATTTTAGTGTAATTTTGGCTTGACCAGTGGACTACCTCCGACCACGTAGCTCAGTTGGTTTAAACGACCGTATTGTGATCGGTGTTTTACCCGATAGCTTGAAAAAAGGCAAACATAAATCGCTCATCCAGTTGGATTCGGAATAGCGAATAGCTTTCGAAATTAATTTTGCGGGGAGAGACAGTAAAGCTAGAAGTTTACATTACAGACTTCTACTAATCACTATGTTTAAGCTAATGAGGGAAAATGAATGAAAATATTATTTATTTATTTTTTGTAGAATCTGCTCAGTTGATTATAGCTGTTTGTTGTTCTAAATCTTTGTTTTGAAACACTTGCAGGTATACGGAACAATCATAATTCATAATGAAGTACATTAGAATGAATAGACTTACACCACATACGTACTATGATAAAGGATAAGCCAAAACTCAACCCTCATTCTCTCAGAGGGACAAGGCATTTTAAGTCAACTAAATGAAGAACGAATATGTTTTGATAGTTTATTCCTTCTATACCTATTTGACTACAACAGATGGTACTCTTAATGCTCAACGGTTAATATTGTTCTTCGTCGACTAAGAAAAATACATGCAGCAATCGGATTTTTCAAATTTCTGCTTTATTCCAAGATTATGTAGAAAATACCCAGCATGTGTTTTTTCTTCAATTTTAAATATCCGTTATACAAAGAACACAGACAAACTCTTGTTACTTCTCTAAATAGTTTTGGTAATCACATATACAACTTTCCTACAAAGCTGTCCTCTGTGAGATGAAAACGTGAAACTATTTGTCAACTCTATTTCTTCAGATATAATGAGAGATGGATGATACCAAACGTGAAGATAACTACTGTTAACATATAATTCTCCAATATTTACTTATAACTAATTTGAATCAAATACAAGTTCAGTTGTGCGGATTGTTCAGTCTCAAGCAACAGTGACCTTTGCTTTGATTCATGCAAGCGGAATTTCGGTCAAGTTCTTAGCATGTAGGACCAAGGTCTTTTATCCTCGTTAACGCTGTAGTGTGTTGTGTTTGTACGCCGACGAAAGTTTGGAGGATTTTGAAGGGATTAATTATAAGCATGTTGAGATGTTGATTTTTGCTTATTATAACCGGATAATATATAAGTGTAGATTCATCAAAGCCTTATATTTTTATTGGAAGATGCATGATCTGGATTTTGGAATACCACTGAAAAACTGCCAAAAATTGTTCCAATTGTGTTAGCGTTGCGTAATACAATTACTATTAAAATATCAAATGAAATACATTCGTAATGATACCCGTGATGAAAGGACATATCAGTAAGTACACCTTATTTTTATATAACTCATTTATCGAAACTTGCAAATAGTCCCTGGTTTTAAAAGATGTGTAATAAAATGTAATTGATTGACGAGACTTGTAACACAAGTTATACCAATAGCAATAGCATACCTATCTATTCGAAATACGATAGTATGATCCTCATTTCTTTGTGAATACCATCATTAGTGGGATAAGTGTTTTTGATATTTTCACTCGTGCTTTGTTCTCGAACAAATATGAAAATTGACCTAATTCGATGGAATTTAACAGGTATTCATCACAAAACGTCAAATACTTTTTATTTATATATTTCATCAGTCGGCATTATACATATAGTAATCGATTAATTGACTCATATATTTATTATTTTTTTGTATTTATTGTTTTTTTATGACAATATATATTTTGTAAACTTTTAATGCTTAAGAAACCCGAATTTTAACAGAAATAATTCGAAGAATCACGCTTCCGAGAAATCGCCGACAAAAAAACATCTTGTTGTACAAAGCAGAAGTAGTTGGACCGCAAGGCGCAGGACATAATTTTAAGAAATATTGAAAACAATCTAATCGTGATCAGGATTCCAAAGCAGCGTGAACTAGCCGGGAATACTAAAATAGAAGCCGATCAAAACATGATCTAGGAACCGCTTAACGTGTGTTCTAAATTCTAAAATTGAATGATGATGAATAGCTAAGTAATGTTATTAGATTAGCAGAAATATTCAAGTCACAAAAAAAATCAAACACGCATTATTTCAATTACACTCAATGACTTCGAAGCAATTTGAATTTGAAGGAACAGGAACAATTTGACAAAGTGTTTAATATAAATGGAAAAGTCTTTGCAAGATTAGCTCACGCAAATTAAAAATACAACAGTCATATTTATTGTTTTCAATAAACATCTTGGTTCGCCTTTCGATACAAGTCAAACGATCTTTAATTATCAAAACGATTAAGGTTTAACTCACATGGTTTTGTAAATGTATATGGGATAGTATCAGTTACATGGAAAGGTGGTCAGCCGCTATGTGTAATCATTTCTAGAATATGTCTAACAAGGAAGCTCCATTTGTTACGATTGTAGATATAAATATAAAATAGTGTCATGTCTAGTTCCCTTGTTCTCACACAAAATACAACTCCTTATCTACTCACACGTTGATTTCGTAAATGATCAAAAATGATAATAGCGTAAACATATTTAAACTATAGCTTTAGTAATAAATTAACTGACTAAAATATGTATCAATATGTATCAATTTTGACAATGGGAAAATGCATCTTCTTGTCAATAGGTTTAAAGATGGCGGACTAATTTCATCAGGCTTGTGAGAAGATATCAATTATTAGAACGAAATAATTATTGAATTTTTTTTATGATCAAGATCTATTTCCTATTCATCTATAATAAATAACAACATATTTTAATGTACAATGCAAAAATTAGCATCTCACTTAAAACCCCAAATCAAAAATAAATTAAATGAAATGAATATTTATATAATAAAGACATAAACTCTGTATGTCGTGTATCAAACTATGTTATTCTGTTGATTATGATATTTCGATATCATGAAGTCTCCAAAGTGTTTTTTTGTTGTTTTTTAATCTTATTTTCATTGTTGCTAATGGAGTTTCGATATGAAAGTCACATTTTTTTAAAACTTGTTTTCACTGTCATATTTTTTTTAAATGTTATTTTCAGAAATTCAATGAGCATAATTAATGAATTGTTCCTGACGGAAGTTCATTAAAAAAGTCGCTTAAGCATATTCTTTTTAAATCTTTTCGAAATTGGTTTTCCCGTTGTATGTTCTTTTGCGAACTATATTTGACATTCCTAAAACAGTTTTTAACCTTCTGCTTACATATCAAAAATATCAAAAAACGAAACAACCGTGACAGGTTCTTTTTATTATCTTAACGCCCATTAAAGAATACATTTCAAATATGCAATGAATTCAGTGTAACACACAATAAAACCTTAATTTCACTTACCTTAATTTCATACTAATATATTCTGATTTATCATCATAATTTTGCCATGATAGTAATGATCCTCACATTAAGTATGTTGTGATATATGTATATGTGAATTTCACATGTTGTCCCACTTTATATCAGGTGGAAACAAGCATAATAAAACACGGTGATTTTTTTGTAGTAGCTTTACAGTTTTAATCAAACTTAGAAATAGTACAAAATTAGGTACGTTCCTGGCACCTTTCTCATTCAGTACTGTCCGTATGTCCAGGTATCTACTGGTTCAACGCTAAACACTAATATTTCTCCTTCATCGTTTGGTTCATATTGGCCTATCGTAGTCATGCCATACAGGAAAGGGCGTGTTTTGAAATGTCAATCAACAAACGGTATGAGAATAGAACAAAGACAAATGAACGAATAGTTCAAAAATATAAAACAAAACGCATCGTTGGTGTACAAACAATCATTTTTAATAAAAAAAAAAAATAAAAAAATCATAAGTCAAAAAAAGATGATTTGATACAGAGACTTATAGAACAAGGTCAGACAAACCATAAAACTAATTGGTACTACTGTGATTCAGTAACTTGTTTGAGATGTACTCAGCCTTACAAAGACGCTTATGTCCCCGAAGTCTTGTCCAGCCATTAAGTTGACGGTTGCCTCCTAAAGCCTACCCGTGCAATAACCAAGCATTGGTTTATCATTAGTGTACCCTTTGAAGCCATACCCTACAAACCATGCTCAAGATAAATCGTGCAATAACAACAACCTTGCTTCCAGTAAGTCTTATTTTAACAAACTAAAATTGAGACAATCATTTTCTGCTGACTTGTGTAACCATACACGAAACTTTACCTAACTATAATTAGGAGACTGGCCTGTGCACGCGCCTATCTCAGGTCAATACCCTTATCGATAAGCCTACTGCCCAGCGGTTTTTAGAATTGCACCAAGAGTGGGTTACTAGAGGACGCCTTTGAATATAAAACAGATAAGATGATAATAGATATGGTACAACATCCATTGGTCAACGTAACCTATCAATTATGCGGTAACCTTACTCAAGAAACGATTGACTCTGTGTGCCATTTTTGTTAGTACATAAATAGGTCAGTCATACGACATATGGAATCAGGTCAAGTTTGTTTCCGTTCCATTCTGACTTTTATGAAATTCTCAGTATCCAATTAATAGAGAAGCGTGTGAAATCATTTAAATATTATAAATTACAGCAGGAATAAACTACATTTCATAACTTCATTGATAGTTTTTCATATATACACGTTTCTATTGAAAAAACTTATAGTTTATATTTATTAATCCCGTTGCTTATATAGATATTAGAATCCTTGTTATATTTGAAACCTTTAAAGTGATTCATATTAGGGATATCGGGATTTGTAAAACTTAATTAATTTTGTTGGGTGTTCTTTCTTTTCTTTTCTTTTGTGTGTGTGTGTGTGTAGCTAACATGTATTCATTTATCAAAATAACGTTATCTATATTCAAAATCTTGTGATTGGTGTTACAAGGGAATAATGATTACTTATCTATAAAATAATAATAAAATAGGCGGTTATGTCACTTTACCCATGATGCAAATAATCACAAAATTTATTTTTCAATGAGATTCATCAGTTTGGAAATATGCAATATCAAAGTTTTACTTTTAACACAAACAATGTACGTGTTAAACGTGTCGCAACGTTTCAAGACTAACTGGTCCCTTTGTCAAGCTATGACTGAGTGATCGAGCGATTTGAATTATTTACCTGTACAACGATGTGACGAAATTGTATATTTTTCATGTCACTCGACCCGAGACGTTTCGCCTTTCGATAGGGAGCTTATACATACACACTGCATCAGAAATGTTACAGCTAGGTAGGGTGTACATCTAGTCCCCTCCCGTGTTATGTCAGTATTAGGTCATGCAGATGACTCAGCTGGCGCCCCCTCGTCTCTGTTCATGTTCTGAGTTTTCCTGATTTTGATTGCTTCTTTGATTTGTCTCGTTTGTGTGTGTTGTTTGTTCCCTTTCAACAATCTTGGCATTGTCCCAATCGACGATGTGATTTTGGGTGTCCTCGTGATCTATTAACGCTGATTTGTTGTACTGGGTGGCGGATGTTTTGCGCGTGGATCTGGTGAATGTGATGTTCCTAATTTTCTCTACGTCCTTTTGATGTTCCTCCAGACGTGTACCGAATTTCCTCCCAGTTTCCCCTATATATGACTGTTGAAAGGTTTTGCATGGAATTTGATATACAACTCCTGTTTTGTCTTTTTGTCTTTATGATAGCAACCATATAAGGCCCAAACTAACCAAAACTTAAGTTCATAGTTATCAGAAGGTTATTTTAAGTGTCAATTTAAAGAAATAACTCTGCATGATTTAGTGTCTTAAAAGTGTAATTAATAGAGCAATATGTATTTTTTTTTATTTTATTTTTTTGTGACATATAACCACGGAAACAGATTATGTCGTCCGTTCATTACACGACATAATTTTCATATCTTTTTAATCCTACGATTAACGGATTAAAATATAAAATGAAAATTATGTTTCATTCGATTTTGCTACAAAATAAATAATTTAATTCTCATCCGGATAATCTTTTTTATTTTGGTCGAATTTTATCATACACGGAAGATAAAACGCTTTATTCATCGAAAGAAAGTTACCAGACATTTAAGCTTCTAAGTGACAGAGAACTCTGCAGAAATGGCTGCAAAAAGACCGGCAAAGGCGAAAGGTTTTCACACGGACTTTTTATCATCTTTGTTTTGATTAAATTGGAAACAAATTATAAACTTAAGATACTTGTCATACTGTTAAACTTCAGGGTTAATCAAATCGTGGATACAAATACATTTATGATTCAAATGAACTTGTTTTTATTTGTTATGGTTCCCTCGACGTGAGGGGCCAACTCGGTCCATAGCGAGTTCGCATATCATTGTAAAATAAGCTGTCGGTTAGAATATGCGGAAAGAACATCTGAATTATATACTGCTAGCGAAATAGCCCCAGCGTTTATGTAGTTTATTGTATCGGATCTTCTCATTCAAAAGTTCCAAATCGCCCAAGTTAAGAACATCATAGTTCAGAAGATTAATGTATACTCAATCTAAATGGTAATCTACTTCTACTTCTAAGCGGTAATGACCAACTTCAAAATGAGAAAGCCAAAATGATATGTATAATATTTAATTGTGAGGGAACAGTGACAGGAGAGCAGATTTAAAAGATTCAGTAGTCGAACAGGAGGATATGATATCTGGTGAGATCTTATTCAACTCGGATATTAATCGTGGAAAGAAGGATTGTTTTCTGACCTGGGTTCTGCAGTGTGGTATTTGGAACATGCCTTGATTGCCTGGTTGCCGGTATTAGTCTAGTGTGTTTACTAATAACTACCTGATTGTTTACAATTTTGAACTTCATATATAGGCTTGTGTCTCAGCGTCTCTCGGCAAGGGATTGCAATTTAAGATGGTTCAACACATCGGAGACACTGGATGTTCTATGAGTGTAGATGTTTTTGTTTAGTACGTAACGAGCAGCCCTGCGTTGTACCAATTCAATCTTATTGATTTTAAAGAATTTAGTTAATTAGTGACTTACAATCGCAACATGGTATCTAAATAACCAAATGAGGCATACAATTATTTTTTTTCACTTACATTTCAAATTTTATTAATCGATTAATTATTCAGGTATTGTATTTTTTTTCCTTTGTTTTTAGTGCACATAGCACCTCCGGGAGATTTCATTGCTCTTGGGAAATCAAAGCCTTCCTCTGTGTCCGAGCTAGATGTACCCCGGGGCGTTCCTTCTCAAGTATCATCCAAGAAACTCCTGTCATCTTCTGGAGAAAGGAAAAGGGAGGCACCTTCATCATCCATTTCTGGTATAGCAAAGCGACCAAAACTTATACAAGGACAAACCTTTACGCCCTTAGGTCGATCTTCTGATGCAGACCGACGTAGTTCGCCGGCTCCAAATACAAGTTCGCAGCTGGATGAAGTTGCTATTGATAGTAAGCTTTTGATTTGTATTTAATCTAACAATATAGAGATTGTTGTTTTACGTTATTGTAACATTATTGAAACATCAAAAAATTGCAAATGTGTGCCTTGTAAGTTAGAAAACATGTTTTAAAAAATGTAGACATAGAGGTTTTTGAATTATTTCGTACGTGTTGGCTGATTTATTATATCTGGTTTATCTGACTAACCCAAAGGATTGATAGTTGCAAAAGAAAAAATATCTGTTCATGTTACAGTATAGATGTAAAGAAATTAACAAAAGTACATCATGTGATACTAAATTATTTTGCTTATAACCACATGTTTAAATGTTTGTTTCATAGTTGAGCCACTGATGTTGATGGAAGAAGTGTTAGATGCAGAGGACATGTGCAATGATGAGAAGCTGGAGGGATTGTTTCTTGGAGCAATAAAAAACCTGAGAGGAAATCGTTCAAAACCAGACACAGTGGTGTACCTTACCATCATGTCGCTGGCAAAAACTCATTCTAGTATCTTCAATAGCGAGCTCATCATTCAGGTAAGTTTCAGCAAAAAAATGTGTTAGCTATATAACGTTAAAAATGAGGAAGGTTTATACTGCTCATACAGATGTAGGTGTGTTGTATAAAATATTAGCTAAATGTCAATGTTATAACATAAACAGCTGATCATGATCAATTAGTGTTAAAGAAACAATGCTCTAAAATTATCTATGATATCATGTATGTGCACTGCATGATTGTAACAAAGTCAAGGTGTTGTGAAATCTTTAAAATCACTTGCAGGCTTTCTGTAGTCTGCTGAAAAGAGAATTGTCACTCAACTTTAAAGCCAAAGGCAATGTGCTTGTGTCAGTGTTTGCCTGCAATGTCCTGATGGCAGCATTCAGTGAGGAGGAGAATTGGCCAGATGATTTTGTGAAGGTATATACGTATGATTTTATCAAAATTTTATGCAAGCTGAATTATTTTTTCCTTGATAATTTTTTTTTGTGTGACAACTTCATAGGAGGCACGGTAGTCTAGTGGTAGAATGCCTGCAGGCTCATGACCGAAGGGTTGCAGGTTCGAGTCATGGCACAGCACTATGTTGTATCTTTGAGCAAGATACTTAACTCCGCTTGTTTCAGTTGACTCGGATGTAAATGAGTACGTGGTTGGGCAGTGCTAGAAATGTTGGCTGGTTGCAAAGGCCCTATAACCACGGTTAATAATTTGTGAACCGCTTTGAGACGACCTACGAACTAGGTTGTGATAAAGCGGTATATAAGAACCTCAAACAATCTGATTAAAATCATCTGTTACATGGCTCTGCCTGAACATATGAATGTGCCGCGGTCAGGGTCACGTTCAAGTGACCTTTAGATGAACCAATCAGAGGCGCGCTGGCAAAAGTTTGCCAGCGAATCGGAATATCATGGTTGATAGATAAATAGCGAGGGGTATTGAACAGATTAGTTTTTCAAAAACAAATATGGCGGCGGGAACTGACGTTTCTACAACGCCAAGGAAAACGTACCCATTGGGTAATAATTGCGTAGGCAACACCGCCATACAGTCTTTCTTCTCTAATAAAGCTTCGAATATCTTTTTCTGCTCGGGTTTCAGACGATCAATCTCAAATAACTTCAGAACTTTTTCGCATCATTCTCATCAATGTCCGACATATTTGTTACAACTCTGAGTGCCCTTTTGAAAGAGGGTCTCTGATTGGTCAAAAATTAATGAGTATTTATAAATATAAAGGTCACCTGAACATGACCCTGACCGCGGCACACTCAGATGTTCAGGCGTAGTACGAAGTTAACGAAGCCATGTAACATGATTTTAATCAGATTGAACCTCAAATTATTATCATTATTATTATTATAGGTCAACAGGTGAACTTTTACATATCCACATGCTGTTAATTATACAGCGATGATAAAAACCTCTTTGTGTATAAAATATAAATGTATAGATGACTGAAACAATACTTGATGTTTTTGTAGGTGTTTGTTGAAGATTCCCTCGGAGAGCGAGTCTGGGTAGATAGATCAGACTGTAAGAGTTTCGTTGACAATATCATCACAGCATTCAACACCAAGCTACCTTCCAAGTCACTTTCCATGTCTATAGATATGTCAGGCACACAATCTGGCTCAGGTGAGAACAACAAAACAATAATTAAAAGTTCTCTTAAAAAATACAGTTATCCAGAAACAAAGTTCTGTCTGCTCTAGTAATGTGCAGAAAATAGATGTTTTCAATTTTTGATTTCATATAGAAAAGTAACAGTATTAAGACTGTCCATATTCATACATTGATGGATAATTGAAAGTCATGTAACTTGATGTCTGTTTACAGCAAGTCCTGTGGTGTCATTCCTGGAAGATGATGATGTGACCAAGTCATCAGATAGTCTGGAAGATAAACTCAGCAGCCTTGGAGAGGATGAGGTCACAGTATTTCCTAGGTATTAGAATCTTAACATTTATGAAAGATAATCAGTAAACATTGTAATAATGTTAAGTCGTTTGAAATATGCATTAATAGCAAGCTTTGTTGTGTCCTCTTCAAAGTAAGAGGGCATACAGTGATCATATTTTTGCTTGTCTGTGTTTGCATTCATTACATCTTGTATTGTCTGGCAATAATTTCGGACCATCTGAAGATTAAGTTATGAAACTTCATGGATTGACCTGTTCTGACCACTCAGCATGTCGCATAACACAGCTACATCTATATGCCAAAGGTCAAGGTCAGGGAAAGGGTTGAAAGATCAGATGCTCTTCCCGGTGTACTTTCTTATTGGCAAAACATTCCATTTTAAACTTTATAGGTGTGTGTGTCATGATTATACAGTGTGGATTATTTAACACACAGGCTCATCCACTGAAAGTCAAGATGGTGAGAAGTCAAATCAGGGGAATACTTGTCCAGACCATAACTGTAATGTCATAATTTGCACAGTAAACACTCTGTAAGGAATTAGGAGGATAGGTGAGGGAGTATGCATAAGTGACCTTTAGATCTCTTACTTTGTTTATGATGAATATGATTATGAGAAAGATAACAGTGTTCATCTACTCATTCCATGATAAACATATGGATCTAATATTATGAACAACTTTAACTGAAAGTGCTTTGCCATCACATCACAGATACCCATACCAACAGGATAGTATAGAGTCCTATGTGATGGATATCATCCGTGAACAACTGAGTCGCCGCCAGACAATGGACACATCATCCCGTAATGTTATCCGTCTGATGACTGCTACAAGTGGATACAGTCAGGTGCGACTCCAATCTGCACAACGTCTAGAGATGTGGCTGCAAAATCCAAAGGTAAATTCACTGATATGTGGTTACTAATCCCTCAGGCACACTCACTGTACTATTTAATATTTTTGTGGTCAGTAGTTTCTACCATTCAGTAACATATAAATTACTATCATATGGCCTCTGAAAAAGACATTTTTGAAGTGATAAACAATTCAATTATGCTGTCCATGAGAAATTTATTGCCATCTGAATATTGCCAAATTTTTTGATTTTGTTGATGATTGTTAACAATTTAATCGTCTGTAATCCTAGTCATTGGGATAACTGACATCTGAACAGCAGATTTATCAGGACTTTTGAATGATTATTCTCAGGATTAATAGTGTTCATATTAAGTAAATGATGCCATTACTTGTTATAAAAACCCATTAAATGTCATCATTCAGTAAACTTGTATTGCAGTGACTTTTATTCTGATTCACATATACATTTTCAGCAAAAGATACCCAAATTTTATTAATTTATCATCCATGTGATATTTTTGCCATCTTTAAAACATTTTTGAATTTACATCAAGTAAAAACTAAAACTAAGCACTTATGATTTGTTATTGTTTGACATGTTTGTAGTTGACACGGTCCGCCCAGGAGCTGTTGATGTCCCTGTGTATGAACTGTAACCAGTATGACCAGAATGACATAGAGGTTCTCTCACAACTCGTCAAGATTAGGATGAAAACTAAACCACTGCTCAACCATTTCCTCACTTGTATCAGGTAATGTAACAATATCCTCACATTTGTCAGGTAAAATAAAACATTTAACGTAGTCTAATCCAAAAGTTTAGTAGAGGCCACTTACTCCCTTAGGTGTAGGAAAACAGCTGGAGGGTGCAGCTCATTGCATGGTTTCAAAATCTACAGATTTTTGTTGAAATATTTGGTTAGCATTCTGGTTTTTTGGCCAATTAACATATCAAATCCTGAATTCAGATTTGATGGCTCTTTCCATAAATGTTGTAGAAATGATTGATCTCAGCAACACAGAACCTATTTAAAAGGATTTGATATAGTTCCGTTTCCCTTGTAAAACCCAGTTGATAACTTGATAAACTTGTTTACCCTAGCTTAGCTACCATCCATATGTTTACCCTAGCTTAGCTACCATCCATATGTTTCTAAAATGCCTCTCATCCTTTAATTACAAGTAAATGAACACATTTTGTTGTGGATTTCTGTAAATAAAAATAAGAACCTGTTTGAGACAATCAGGTAAGGTTTTAAGTTGTTTTACAGGGAGTTGATCCCACAACACCAAGAGAACCTGCGCATGATGCTTACTCACACCATCTACAATGAGTTATCCAACGTCAGGAACCCCAACAATATGGCACTGATCAGTGTCATGTTCCAGACCTCATCAACACTTGCTACTAAGGTTTGTAGGATTTTTGCTGCATGTTACTCGTAATCCAGATCTCCAATGTTAAAAAAAATTGTCACTTTCTCTGTCCATATTCTGGTATTAATGAAGTAAAACCTGCTTATTACAGAAATCATGCTTAAAAGTAGGCTATATTTTTGTCTCCTGTCAAAGAATTATTTGTTGAACATTAAACTCAGTAAATGTAATTTAAACGTAGCCAACTAGTTTCTCAAATTTAAGATGTTTTTCTGTAATGTCAAAAGGGCATTTATCATTGTTTTGTCAGCTGTTTGTTCCCAAAAGTTTTTCTACAAAATATAAATGCATGTCTTTTAAGCGTACATAATGTTTTAGAAAGCACCATATTTTTTACAGTATGAATTAAATTTTGCATCACTAAGTCATGAATTATCCTGGTGTGGCTTAGAAAACTGAATTTATCCTGCTGTAGGTACTGGCCGAGATATTCCAGGACCTGCTGTCCAATAAAGAGGATTATCTCCGTGCACTTCGGGCCTTACTCCGTGAGATAGCTCGCACACTGAAACAGGACATCAAACTGTCTTCATTTTGTCTGAACTTGATGCAGGAAAGGACAGATTCCAAGTTCTTAGAAATGGACAATTCTCTGAGGGTATGCCAATTTATCTACTTGATACTTTATATTTCTACTATCAGGAACCTTCTATTCTCTACACCATTAAGCTGCTCATTCCATACCATTGGTGGTAACAGTTGGCTTAAGGACCGAACAGATATTCACTGCAAGATACACGTACACCCAGGGACTCCAAGTCCAGGAGGAATTACATTTTTACTCTAAATCCTGTCTAGCTAGGAAATACATAGAAACAAATGTTTGAGTTCAAAATGATTCGTACCATACCAGCTAATTTTCTGAATTGTGAAGTCATTTCACTGTTATATGTGATGTCATTAATTGATGTTTTGTTGAGTGAAGGAAAATCTGCTGCCAAAACACAGTCAGATCTGACATCATCACATGGACAAATATTATTAAGCAACCTTACTGTGAAGCTTTAGTAAATTGCTTTGGTCTCGAAGTATGCACCTCCAGATTACACAGTATTTAACACTCTTTCTTCAGTACACAGTATCATACTTACTACTTTTTATTCACATTTAGTCATGGTCACTTTATATATTATCTAGAATATCTACTAATAGATATTTATGGTTACCTTTGCAATGTTATTCTCAATTTCACCAAGCTCCCAGGTAAGAGGTGGAAGAAAAAGAGTCCATTATCATGTAGGTATGAGGGATAGGGAACTTCTGTATGGGTGTGTAAAACTTAAAGGTAAAAAAAAGGCTTAGCAAGATTTCGAGTTCAAATTCTACATCATCAGGTAGAATTTCCCTATATCCCTCATACCTATGTATGAGATATTCTGTTAATACTGATACTTAAAAACCTGGCAGCTACGGTAGTATACATTTGCTTACCCTTGAACTTTATCTAAAACTTTATTAAGTTTAACCTTTTATCAACCAGTTGTCATTGGAAGGATTTTAAAATTGATTTTTGTGACTTGCAAAGCAAGATTTCAACAGATCATTTATTTCCTTTATTCAATATTTTAGTCAATATTATGTATTCATGAGTGTTAGGTGCAGTCTGTGAAAGGATCTCTTATATGTATCATATTTTATCATAATCAGCAAGAAAATCTCCCAATGTGATAACTGTTTGTTTCAGGAACGTTACATTATGTCTGTGGCGGACATGGTGGCAGTGACAATCCTTATAGGGATCACCCCATCAGTACGGGAGGCCAAGGGAGATAAGCAAGGTAAGGCTTGTTAAATTTGAATTGATAGACAGGTTGTGAAAATAACTTTTTTTCTTAATTAAATAATAATTTATTTGCATGGTACACACAATGCTACATAATGGGTTTCAAAATATAAAGAACCTTGAATGTCATAGTTCAACCTTTGATATAAGCTGACTTTTTTTCAGGAATTGTTCATTTTTTTTAATTCAAAATAATACTTTATTAAACCTAGATAAACACCTGAAATTTCCGTTGTATTTCCTTATATCTAAATTTAGCTAGTTTAATTATGATGCATTTATTTTAAAGGCTATCAGTGCATGTTAACTATCTTAAGTGAAAATATTTCCTTTAATATATGTTATAAATGTGTCTCAGATTCAGAAGTTCTACACAAGTATCGCCAACAGACTGCAATGATACAGCGGGATGCTGTGTGGTGGATGCATACTATTGTATCAAAACACATTGTGGAGTTCAAACCGGAACATTATATACATTGGTATGTAAGGTCATATATACTCCTGTACTGCTTAACTTCTCTGCATGTTGCAAATATGATTCCAGACGAAATTATATCCTCTGAAGGTTATTTCTTTGAATTGTATTAAACTGGAATGTTATGGAACATCTACACTGAGTTTTGATGCATGACATTTTATATCTGTTATTACCGAGTATGTTCAAATTCTAGCCTATAGTTTTTAGCCTGTGGTATTGAAAATCAAGTACTATACTATACAAAGATTGCAATTATACAACCTTACTTTTAATGTATAGTTGCAAGTATCTCTTCAGGGGCGATATAATTAAAGAAGGTCAATATTTTTAGGGGGAGAAAAGGAAAAGAAAAACATTTTTGAAATTATGTGATACGTTATCGCAATTGTAATTTTGACATTTCACATCTTGTTTTTATAGTTTACACAAAGTACTGTTCCTGGAGGGTCCTGAACAATACTACAACAAAGACAACTGGCCGTCAGAAGGAGAGAGAGGGTTTGTACTTAAGTCCTAGGACATTGGTTTTCTTCATACTCCACAATAGAATTTTGAAATAGCCGTTTCTCATTAAAACTTCAAAATAATCATATCAGATTATCTGGTTTTGATGTTTTATGAGGGCCTGGCCATGTTAACTGTAATGCACTATTATAGGTCTCTGCTGAGGATTGCGTCAGAGTCACCTGTCCTTGAGGACACCCTGATGAGGATCCTGGTCATTGGTCTGTCTCCAGATATCCCCATAAACCCTCCAGATGCTGTGGAACTGGTGGACCAGCTTGTCAAGCGTGCAGCCAGTCTCAGCTGCGACGGTAATTTGGCAGGGGTAATCTCAGGAAAGACAGTGTTATACACATGTGTAGTATCAAATGTTTTATTATACATCATACAAAAATTCTCATTTGTTATGGTAATTAAAATATCAGGTATTCTCAGCTGTGATAGTAATTATAATAGGATAGTCTTACCTGTCGAAGGTAGACTTAGATACAGGTGTGCTTATAACAACCCTGGCCCCTTCCCACATTATGTTGAGGGGATAGGATCTGAAGCCATTTTGTTGTATTGGCCCTCCATCTGTCTACACTTGATTTATTTGGTATCTCAGTAGTCCAAAAACAAGCTTGAGGTACTTTTGAAAGACCAGTCTGTTGAAATGCTAATTTTAAGGTCATTCTGTCAAGGTCATAATCAATGTCAAAGTCATTGCAAGCTTAAAAGGGCTATTGTCAACTGTGTTCTGTATTATAGGTGAAAAAGTGCTACAGATGGAAAGACTGGAATTGGTGGATGCCCTTCTCAATCTGTGTTCATACAGACATCCTACAGACATATCTCTACCTAAAGGGTGAGTACAGGTACTCAGTACAGATATATCTACATAGACTTCCTACAGACATATCACTACCTAAAGGGTGATTACAGGGACTCAGTACAGATATATCTCTAAATAGAATTCCTACAAACATATCTCTACCTAAAGGGTGAGTACAGGTACTCAGTACAGATATATCTCTACATAGACTTCCTACAAACATATCTCTACCTAAAGGGTGAGTACAGCCTCTACAGGTACTCTACAGGTATATCTCTACATAGACTTCCTACAGACATATCACTACCTAAAGGGTGAGTACAGGTACTCTACAGGTATATTTCTACATAGACATTCTACAGACATATCTCTACCTAAAGGGTGAGTACAGGTACTCAGTACAGATATATCTCCACATAGACTTCCTTTAAACATATCTCTACCTAAAGGGTGAGTACAGGTACTCTACAGGTATATTTCTACATAGACATTCTACAGACATATCTCTACCTAAAGGTTGAGTACAGGTACTCTACAGGTATATCTCTACATAGACATTTTACAGACATATCTCTACCTAAAGGGTGAGTACAGGTACTCTACAGGTATATCTCTTCATAAAAATCTTACAAATATGTCTCTGCTTACTGCTTTAAGGGTGAGAACAGATATCCTACAGACATATTTCTTTGGAAGGCAGAGATTTACAAACTAAGATAGGGTCCCCTGCTCTACCATATTAAGTTTTGGCACTTCGTTCAATTTTCGTTCCGAAATTTGTCCAGAGCATGACTTTCTTGCTATTCATATCCATTAATCAAAGTTGTATTATTTATGTGTCTTAGGAAGATGTACTGAAATCAGGGCCAGGTTGTTCACAGCTGGAGAGCTAAATGGGTTGTTAACACACATTTTCCATATGTGAAATTAGAGAAACACTGAAGTTTACATATGATCATTTTGAATCCCAATGCAAATAGTTTTAAATAAAATATATTGAAATTTTGAATCACTGAGCTCTGGTATTGTGTTTCTACTGTTTACATAGTTATGGCCCTTTGTACTTTATTTTTACAATAGGTCGTCCAAAACATAACTTCTTTGCTTTTACATCTTCTTTCATCAGACTTGCTTTATACTTAAGCGTTTTGGGAAGTTTGAGTGTTGCAAAATCATACGTTCCTTGCTATTTTACCTACATTCACCAAACTAGCTATACATCTGTATGTTTCAGAAGGCTAAGTGTCACAAAATAAAATTTATACAATTATGTCCCTTGTTCATTGGTAAAACTGAAGTTTTGATGATCAATTTCCATCTTGTTCATATTTTTATACATTTGTCCATTCATTCATTTGACCATCTGCTAATCCTTCAATCAATGAATATTAACAATGAGTTTAAGTTGAAACCCTGTGACATGTGATAGTTGTTTTTCCCTGTGATACTTTAATATTACAAGTTAATTGATGATACAGGTACAGTCCACCAACCTTGGCAATCTCTAACCTGTACTGGAAATCCTGGATTATACTCCTCATCTTGTCGGCTTTCAACCCTCAAACATTTGGTAAGATGATTTAAAGTATTCTTGGGAAGGATAAACTTTACTATAAATTAATATATATATATCTGTTTCATGTGAATACTATGATTCCCTATGTTCACATAATGAATAATAATGTGCATACAAATTCTGTAGTGTAGATGTTTATGCCTTGTATATTATGCATACTTCTGTAATACTAGAATGATTATTATATTTTTGCTGTAGAGGCCTATTTAAATGTTTTATATCATCACTGTCATTTAAGACTATACCCTTTCTTGTCTGAATACATAGTGAGAGCATTAATAAAATGTATGATTATTCCACACTGGTATATCCTTCATTGTTTGATATACAGTAATATATATGACTATTCCACACTGGTATATCCTTCATTGTTTGATATACAGTAATATATATGACTATTCCACACTGGTATATCCTTCATTGTTTGATATACAGTAATATATATGATTGGCTTTGTCAGGATAATAATTTCAATCAATGGAAAGGAAACACTACCTTGATAAATCTTTTAGAAAAATGTGTCAGTAGAAATATTGACAACAGAATGCTATATTGTGTAAAATTGTACTTACTGAACTTGTTACATTTGTAGGTATTACGGCCTGGGAGAACTATCCTACCCTTAAGTGTCTGATGGAGATGGTGATGACCAGGTACAGGGTTCTAGGTGTCCTATAGCTATGTCTCATGGTTCTCTATTTTAGTCATACACAATCATTGTAACAGTAACTTGTTATCACAATCAAACTTTTATTATATTGATATTGTATATCATTATTAGTGATGAGACAGTGCTCATTGTTACAGTATATGTCACTTCCAAACACAATATGATAGTTCATCAAAAATAAACACATTTATCCATAATTAGACAGATATTTCTGAAAAACTTGACTCTCTTTCCTTGCAGGAATTACAAGTTTCCACCTCCAACCACTGCTTCAGATGAACGAGAAGTTGAGGATATAAAAAATCAAGAGAAACAGGTATGGATTTTTTAATACCTCCCTATCTCCTCCTTCCAATGTAGAACATGTTTAATTTGTAGAAAGAGTGACTTTTATGTTATCCTTAGAAAGCTCATTGAGTAATTAATATATATTTATATATATGAACTTTGCATGAAACGAATGTAACAACAGAGAAAATCTTGACAATGATATTAATATGGTTCATGTTTGATATTCTGGTTGATTTACAGGTGTCAGAACAGGAGAAGCAGGAAATTCTGGAGTTTGAGAGCCATCTTGCTGCTGCCACTAGCAAAGTGACCATCACAGAGACAAACAGTTTGCTGGTCACTCAACTCACCGCTATGAAGCCCAGGTAATATGTCCACTAACCTTTCTTGCTGAACCTCTCCGTAGATCTGTCTGTCCGACCATGAAATCTTGTCCAGACAACTCCTCCTGCACTAATAAGTCAATTTTAGCTAAAATTCTTATTAATGTATGATTTGTATGTAATAGACCATGTTCAACAACAACCATGTGATACATGGGGTTGAGCCAACATAGGGTATAATGCTGGCTGGCAAAACACTAGAGAATTCCACCCCTATACCTCAGTGAACCCTCCAGTGGGGTTCACAGCTGTGTTATAATAGTGATTTGATCTTACAGTGGAGTGGCACGCCAGCCCCCAGCAGCTATGTTAGAGCAAGTGAGGATCCTCAATGAGACTATCCACATTGGACAGCTGTTATGTCGGAGCCGCAAGCCAGACTTCCTGCTGGACATCATTCAGAGACAGGTGAGGTCTCAAATTGAATTTTCTGCTGAACTCAAGGCAATTTCTAACTATAAACAAGACCATGAATAGTGAATCTAAGACTTCAGTTTGTGTACAATTTCTAAGTTGTAATACAGTTAATTTCTACAGTTATATTGTGTTGTATGTAGGGTGCCTCCCAGTCCATGCCCTGGCTAGCAGAGTTGGTGGAGGCCAGTGAGGGATCCCTCGAGGTTTTGCCTGTCCAGTGTCTGTGTGAATTCCTCCTCCATGATGTGACCGGTATCTCTAGTCAAGAAGAGGACACTAAACAGCTGGAGAAACACAGGAAGAAACAGGTTAAACATTAACCACCAGCCTCTATATATTAAAACTTTCTGATGTTTGATTTTCTACAATAACTGAATCTGCATCTTGTGGAATAGTCCTCAGATATAAGATACAACTGGCTACTTGTGATGACATAATTGCCAATTAGCTTTAGATATACTATCTTGCTGAATGTAAATGTGATTATTTCTACTTCACATATTAACAACAACAATAAACAAATATACGATATAATTACAACTCTAACACACAGGTTACTATTTGTTAAGGACCATGACCTCTTGTTGTTCTATCCTAGATTTTATTATTATCAGAATTGATTCATCGAAAATATAATTTGCTTAGATAATGAAGAATACCAATGAGGTTCCGCCAATTTGAAACTGTCTCCAATAATCATACTCCTATCCATTAATATAAAAGTAATGTGAATCTCAGAATGACTCAGAATTGTTGTAAGATTTGTTACCGCAAACTTTAACTGAACAAGTAAAGTATACTGATCATCAACTTCTATTACTCTTGTATAGAAAGTGAAGAAGCGTGCAGAACTGGTCAGCTACCTCCGGTCCATCATTCATGCCGACCCTCCTGACCCAATATCTGTGTCCCAAGTCCTAGATTACTTTCTCCGGCGGCTCTCGTCCACACAGGCCTCCAACCGACACCTGGCTATTCAAGTAGGTTATACAAACACCTGGTCACACAAGATATGTTATACCTGGTTACACGGGTAAGTTATATCGACGCATAGTCCCACAGGTTCACACAGGTATGTTATATAAAGACATATCTTACAAGTTGATCATATCTAGTTATACAGGTGAGTTTACTTGTTTAAGACGTTATGCCTGTGTATAATGGTGACTGATGCCAATGCCAACTTATGGAGGCCAATTCTCTAGACCATTGCATATTTCACAGTAACTTAATAATCAATAAATGATCAAGCTTCAGCAAGATGCTCAGCAGTTCAAGATTGTGTTTGGTGTGTTTGTGCAGGGGCTGTCCATGTTAATATCGTGTAAAGATACTCCTGAGGAGGAAGGCATGGAGACAGAGAGTGGGATGGGCCACAGCTGGCTGCTAGAACACCTACCCACACTGGCAATCTTCCCCCAGATCAGGCCACAGATCTGCTCTGCCCTCAGACAGGTAGAGAATGTTAACAAGTATACAGTCCAACATTGTCATCAGTTGTGTTGAAGAAGTGCAAAAATCTTAATACCACACACATTTATTTGTTTCAAACTATCACATTAATATCAGGAGACATAACCTTATCACATGTCTCAAACAGGCAGCGTCCACTTATGTTGTTGGGTATAAAGTTTGTTAATTTCTGTGTTGTAAGGCCTGCCAGATAGAGACCGAGCCTGGCCTCATTAGTGCCTGTATCATCTTCCTGTCCCAGCAAGCCCTGGACCAGAGTCTGCATGAACTTGATGACCTTGCTTTGGTATGTGGCTACATGTAAATTATGTTCTCTGTAACAGCAAGGTGATATTAATCAAGCTCCACTTACTTATATTTTTTCTAATGACATGCAACATTTATCAAGTTGTTGATATATAGGATATGAATATACAGATTCAAGCTGACCAAGATATATATCAGATGTTCTGGGTGTAATTTGTGTAATAAAACTATTACATATATATATTTTATTTGTAAAGTGTAATATTGTGATGTCAAAAGTAACAATATCAAGACGATGTTTTGAATTGGCAGTAAAAGATGAAGTTTTTCTTTTGAGGTTTTGTTTTTACTAAATTTTGTAACAAAGTGTGTTATTTTGCATAGTCATATTAAAAACCAGAGTCTCAACCTCCTTCCTTTTTCACCTGACATTGAATCTCGCTGAAGCTTGTTTCCTAATATTGAATGAAATGGGAATCCTCTGCATCTTCATCACTCTTAAACTTGTATTGATTATTGAGTGTCTCTTTGTAGTTGTTCAGAAAGTTTTTAACCCCCCCTGTTATATTGGGATTATATTTTCTTCTATTTCCACTTAAAACTGAATACAAATTATTTCTTCAGATTAAAACAGATTTTGTTTTGTGTTTGTAGGACATGGCGCAGCTAATTGTGGAGCGTACCACAGTTATCAATCACATCCTACCACTAGAGAACCAGCCCAGCAACGAACTCTCTCATGTCACACTAAAGGCACTTATAGACCTGTACACCAACTACCTTCGCAAGGCCAAGGAGCCAGACAAGGAAGCTTATTCATGGGTAAGGTCAGGGGTCATTTGGGTCAAGATCAAAAACTTGTACATACTATCTCTCCAGGGCAAAATCCTTGACAAGGAAATTTAATCACGGGGAAGGACAACATAACTACTCCTCCTGGCTAAGGAGAATGACACAAAAGCTTACACCTTAGTAATGTTAGAGGTCAATAGGTCTAGATCAAGATCATAAATCTGTATACTAACTTAATTTTCTAAGATATGTTTTTAGACATTTTTTCGTATCTAAATTAACAAACAGAAAATCACAAGATTTTTGAAAGAAGACTTGTTTGATTGCTTCAGTCCAACACTCAGGACCAGATTCTTCTCCAGTGGAAGGGAGGTGACTCTGCTACGATGCACGTCCTTGTGGTACATGCCATGATTATACTGCTGACGTATGGGCCACCCAAAGGAGGTGAGTACAGGGAAACTGTTTAGTGAACGGGAACATCTTATAGATCCTCACTACTGGACATTATTTTATTTTTTTAATTTAACCAAAAATGAATTTTGCAAATAAGTAAACATAAATATCAGATATCTATCTTTTGTATTTGAGTAATATATATTTTGTTGATTTTGCAATTGATTAAACAATCCAGACCCTACAATTTAAACAAAATCATTATTTCGACATGCTGTGTTCTGCAAAAATTGGAAATGACTGCTGTTCTCAAGACTGTATATAAAAGCATTAGTGTTGAAGTGTGAATTTATTTTCTTACTACCTCTACACTCAAGTATGCTTTTTTAAGGGGAAACAGAGTACCAGGATTTACTGGATACCTGGTTCCCAGCAGAAGGACAACCACCCTCCGCGTTCCTGCTAGACACATCAGAGGAAGCTCTGTTGCTACCTGACTGGTTGAAACTACGTATGATCAGGTCTCATGTGACTAGACTTGTAGATACAGGTAAGGTTTGAATAATATTCTTGTACTTAAACAATTGTTTGCTTTCCCATGTCAAAGATGATGAAAGTTTTATTGATAATCAAAAGAAAAAAAGATACAGAGCTAAGAATAAATATAGAGGATTTACATTTCAACTTTCACTGGCACTTTTCTGTAACTGCTTCTGATCTTCTCCTTCTGAATCAATTAATCTCTGTCAATGTTCAAATAGATCATAAAGCATAATGTTTAATATTTAGTTACTGTATTTGAAGTCTCCAGGCAATATTGTTTCATCCTGTTGTGTAGTTTGCAGGCATGATATTGATAGTGTACAGAAATGCACTAACATGTAATTGATAACACTACAAAAGAACTTGGTAGTAATATTAGATCACAGGGCTAAAGATGTTGTATAGTTGAAGAATTGTCTACAACTATCTGTTGTGTGTTGACCCTCTCTTATCCCGTGTTGTACAGCCCTCCAGGACATTGAGGCAAACCAGCTACTGCTGTTTGTCCAGTCGTTTGGTATCCCAGTGGCCAGTATGGGACGCCTTCTTCGGTGTTTAGATGGCCTTGTTGTCATGGATTCCAGCATATTGGAGCAGGCAGTGGAGGACAAGACATACATGGCCCAACTCATAGACATACAGCACATGAGGGGTGCCCAGGGGGGCAACACATTCCGCAAGCTGCTCACAGCCCAAGCTCCTGTTAAAGGTGAATTTTACCCACCATTACAACGTCTTCACAGTCTCTTCTCTAACCATCCGGGTACACACTAACCATCAGTATGCAATGGGTCATATCTAATGAAGGAATATTAAAGAAGAAAAGAAGCATGGTATATCAGTTACAATATTTAAAAGTCTTACGAAGGAATCACAACCGGAAATCTATCATGGTTTTATGAAGCTTGATTATGTTTAAATTTTCATATTTCTCGCGTATCTTCACTTTGAATACTGGCTTAAATGTTTTTGTCCATTAATCCTTTGACAGAGGTTGATGATGCTGAAATGAAGTCTGTAGAGTCCAAAGATGAGAGTGTGTGGATGCCTCGTGCTGCAGAACAGAAAAAGGTGCCCCACAAGGCAGAGATCATCAGCTTGTTAGTACAGGTAAGTACCAGCAGTAGGATTTGGTGGTCAGTCAGTGAGTAGTGGACATCAGATTTGTTGTTTATTGCTGTTGGTCTGTGTATAATGTACTTAAAAACTTAGCAGTTGTCAGTACATTGAAAGAGGTTCTGTAACATTTGTAACTTGAAATGTACAATGAAAAGTGTACCAGTTTGCACGTGTCCTGATAAAGCTGTTGGTTATTTAGGTTAGACAAAGTCAATTTAGGAATTACTGTGAGTTATGTGGTCAAACTCATTGACAAGGAATATGATAATGGGATGTTTATTTCTCTTTGGAAGATGGTTGCAAATAATTTCTTTATAATTTGCACTCTTTCCTTGTAATAGATATATCTTGTAAGTTACTTTCTGATTGATCAAGTCTGAGTGGACTGATTTATGGTTTGAAAATTCAGTGCTTATAACTTGTTATAAGGCAGCATATTGCTTTTTGACTGACAGGAATTTTTATTCGGTTTATATGAAACAAAATGTAATTTCTATAAGTGTTGATATTAAAATAATTTTTTGTAACAAGTATTTGAAAAAAATGGATTAAGCAAAAAAATTAGTTTGAATAGCATTTTCATGTCTGCACTTAATTCTTATAATATCAACTACGCGTATAGCATTAAAAACATCAATAATATACGAGTAAATATAATAAATTGTAGTCGCATGGCTATAACCTCATAGGCTGTCACTTAAAAAGGTCCTATATGTCGTACACTGACTTACAGTTCTGGTAATTAATTGGTGTGGATTAATTTCAACTAAACTAGCTTCAATTGCAGTTGGACTAAAATAACTAATGTCTTTGAATAATTGAGTCTTCTGTTTGTGTTGTAGGTGTTTTCCATGGATGGCAAGAGAGACCCAGACACAGATCATCAGTTCCACAATCTCGTCACAGTGAGTGGTTGTGACAACTTATTTCCCCCCCATGTCATTCAAAACATGGCAGTGTCACAGCATGTACTTGCCAACTTTCAAATGAAACCGTTGTAAAAGCTAAAATTGATCAGATTTAGTGTGATACATACTGAAAGCTAACATTGATCAGATTTACCGTGATACATACTGAATTGTACTGTGGAAGCAAAGAATTGCAATACACTTTATCCATATCACATTAAATATAAAAGGATTATTTACAAGTTCATTAAGCCATACAAACATTCGTGTGTTTGGGTCAAAGTTCAACATCCTGAAGACTGACAGAAATACTGTATCTAGTTCCAGTGGTTTTAGTGACATATACTGTTCTGATTGAACCTTTTTCAATGCAGTATTTTATGTTAAGGGAGATATAGCTGTCTCTTGTTAGAAGTATTATAAAAACAGAAAGGATATGAAACATATAGCTTCGTGTTCATTCTGCGGACAATGCTTTTGATTTTCACATTGGTGTTGTATTTTGATTACTTTGTCAGTTTGATATGATCTCCTTTCTTTTCAGGGTATAACTTCAAGGAAACCTGAAATATCACAGCTTGTCATTGACATTTTGTATGAGGTTAGTCAATTAGTTATCTTTTGTCAACAGATTAATAGCATACATTCACTTCATAAACTGAATGACTATCTGGTGTTTTTTGTGTAATTGATAGCTAACAAGTAAATAACTGTAACAAAAAACACATGATGATATCTGGTTTCTCACAAACTGTACACTTATTTTTATTTTTTGTTTTTTGTAGAAGACAAGAAATGACACTACATTTCGGGAGAGGTTTTGTAGACATGTGAAGGCATGTCCATTGCTGAAGTCTCTGGTGGCCAGCAAGGTAGACATATAGTATTTTGTAAATTAGTATGCCAAAAGTACTTCAATCATTTACATGTCTGACACGAAAAACCCCACTGTTCAACAGCAAAGATAAAATTGGGGTTGATGACTGTACATTGATACCAAAAACCACTATTAAGTGTATTTCTTATTACTTTTAAAACTTCTGAAAAGTTCTTCTATAAACATGCTTGTTAAAAATTGTATGTTAAAATACCCAGTTACACAGTAACTAAGTCTAGTGTTTTGAAGAGCATACTATAGAGATTTACTAGTGAGATGTATATACTGTATTTGTGGTATTACAGTGTGGACGCAAAGACTCCCTCCAACAGCTGATGCTGGGCCTCAGTGCTGCAGATCAGACAGTCACATCACCTGCTATGTCCATTATAAAACACTTCCTTCTTCACTCCAGCCCAGGGACAAAATCTACACCCTGTCTGAACCTCAATGGTAGGTTACATTTTCAGTCAATAACATACCTTTTCCCAACGTACTAATAGGTCACATCAAGTCAATTACTCAGTAGTAGGGGTTTTCAAGTGTGTCCCACACCCTGTCCTAGTTTCAATGGCAAGTCTCAAAAAGTCAACTCCACACGCTGTATCAGACTTAAAATTAGGTCACATTAAGTCAACACCACATCCTGTTTCAGACTTGATATTAAGCCGAAACAAGTCGACCCTGTACCCTGTCTCAGACTAATTTAAATAGTAGACCACAATCTGATTATAAAGCTAAAATGTGACTTTTTCTATAACTCAGATTTGGCAAAGAAGAGGTTAGCAGTTGATGAAGGTCACCTTGAGTCTCGACTGACAAACTGTATGCGGTCAGCAATGGCCAGCCAGCTGCCCAGTGAGGTGGTCAGCAGTGTGTGTCAGACGATGATACAGACAGACAATGGAGATAGGTAACCCTTCCTTCTTGCAATTGTTTGTCCGCCCTTTTAAAACAAAAATAAAAATGTGAATGATTCTACTGTTGGATTCACACACATATACTTGGCAGTGTACAGTACTATATATAATTATGAATAGCACAGTGTTGATTCTTTTATTTAATTTGCCATCATGTTAAGGGCAAAAAGGACAAAGATAAACGAGGTGTTTTCCAGTATATTGGAATTGAGTAAAGCTTCTTTAAGCTACAATATATAGAAGTTTGACAAAGCATTCAAGTAGTAAAAGGGATTAGTATAGTCATAAATTTCAGTTCTAATTATAATGTACGAAGGACAAGCTTGTATTAAATGTTTAATATAGAAGCTCCACTACCTTCAGATCAGAAGTGGAGACCTCCCTGCACACCCTGCTGTTGGACTGGCTGGAGCTGCTGGACCCTGAGTTGGTGGCCCGTGCACCGGACCTCCAGCACCAGCTCATGTTTTCCCAACACAGACGCCAGAAAGGAAGTAAAGCCTCTGGTGAAAACCCTACAGACAACAGTCCTACTTCATCTGATACTGCCCAGCTAGACCACACCTATAGTAACCAGGCCTATCTCCTTGCCCTCCTCACTCACCAGAGCAGCTGGTCTGCTCTCCACAGGTCTATCAACACACTGCTACAGAAATCTCCACCAAACAGGTACAGCTTGGGTCAGAGAATAACATTTGACAAGATCAACAAACTAGATAATTATGTAGTTCAGAAGTAGGTCATGATACTGTGTTACAGATGTAAATGTAGTTGATTGTAAAGTGATATTGATATCAGCTTCTGTAATGCCGTTGCTTCTTTATAAAAAAAGACTGTTAAAGGAGAGGTTTCTATGTATTGATCAGTATTGAAGACATAGCCATATAATCTACTGAAAGACTGCATTATTGCATATGGTGACATACCTCATAAGCTGATTGTTGACAAAGCACATTTAAAACTGTACACTTGTTATTATATCAAAATGTCTTGACTGATACTGTTTTGACAGAACATGTTTGTGGATGAATTGCAGAGTACTGCATCATACTGTTATTTTGCTTCCCACCCTACTTAAACTGTTCTATTGTGTTAAATTGAAGCAGTGTAGTTCAAATATATTGTTTTTGTGTTCCAGATTTTGTCCAACCACTGTGCTAGACTTCCTGTGGGCATGTTTGCAAATCCCTAAAATATGGCAAGGTCGTGAGCAAAAGATCTCCAAGGTAAACTTTTTCTATGAGTTTGTATAGAAGTGGCTAATGCACCCTAGGTTTTAGTTTTCATATAAAAGGAAAATATTATATACTTTTTTTAGTTGCTTTTGACAAATTATATTGTCTATGATATATATATTGTGTGAGGTTTGTGCTGTACCTCCAGCCAGGTTTTGTCCACAATTACAGGAGACACAAAACTTGTGATAGTTTGTCACCAATTACAGCAGACATGTGTCTTGTGAAGTTTTGTCAACAGATACAGCAAATGTTTGTCTTATGATATGATCTCTCAAGTTAACTTTGGGAGACATGTGTCTTGTGATGTTCTGCCTATAGTTAAACAGATATGTATCAATACTTACAGAACCAGCCAGTGGAGAATGTTCTCAGCTTGAGTCAGAGTCAGTTGGAGACAATCCTGAACTATATAGTGGAGGAAGCAGTGGTCAGTGAGTCTGTCCACACTGACGGGGACCACAAGGGAGTACCACTGTCCAGCAGGGTCGAGTTGATGGTCACCTGTACAAATAATGAGGAGAGCAACATCAAGTTTGTGGCACAGCAAGCTCAGGAAGCTTTGACTGACAACAGGTTAGAGTAAAGGCAGTTAAAATAAGATTGGTTCAAGAATTTCTTTTTTGATCTTGAATTTTCATTGATATTTTAATGTGTCAGTACTTAAGTAGCATTATTGATTGATGTATAATTTTGTAGAAACAAGGCTGTGAATCAGAAAGTGCTAGTGGAGTTGTATGCCCAGTGTCCTCGTCTGGTGTCGTGGCTACCGGATATCACTGCCTCTCTTTCTGACAAATGTCTATCTCAGGAAACATCCATTCAGGTAAGGTTAGCAGAAATAATAAAAAGCCATTCAGGTAAGGTTAGCAGAAACAATATAAAGCCATTCAGGTAAGATAAGCAGAAATAATATAAGCTCATTCAGGTAAGGTTAGCAGAAATAGTATAAGCTCATTCAGGTAAGGTTAGCAGAAATAATATAAGCTCATTCAGGTAAGGTTAGCAGAAATCATATACACCCATTCAGGTAAGGTTAAGTAGGAATAAAAGGTGCCCATTTCCAGGTGTTCAGGCAATGTTTAATTGATCTTCCTCCCGGGGGCTACTGTACAACACATACACAGGTTGTTCATGACAAGGGAATATAAGAGTCAATTTGCTCACAGTAGATCAAAGACTATAAGGACAGTATTCAAAGTATTCCTTAATCTTGTTTAATAAGACAACAAACCCTCTGTCATGTAATGTTATACTGATTGCTTATGGGGGGGGATTGTATACTACTTTTGATATTTTTGATCTGAGGTATAGTTTTAAGTTTGCAATTGCTGTAAATATTGCATCAATTTCCTGTATATACAAATCTAGATTTGATGATGGGTAACATCACTGTCGGAAATACATAATGCAATTAATGTTCTGAAAATTCACTTCATTACAAATTAATTTGAACCGATAACATGAGGTTTAATAACTTCATAAAAATAGGTCTTTTCATTAAAAGCAAACAAGGCAAATTCCATATTACATAATTGTTTGCTTACCAGGTTGACCTGATTTCGTTCCGTCTGCTGACAAGCTTGGGACATGCTGGCCATGGTCGCAGGAATGAGGATCGCATGCATGACGCCAATATTGCTTGCCGGAAACTGGCCTCACAGCACCCCTTACTGATGTTACGGTACAATTCTCTTTCAAATGATAACCTCACTTCAGTTCAGTAACAGCAGTACAACAGCTCAACCATATAGATTTTGTTGTAAAATTTATTTAATATGACTGTTTACTGATGTAAAAAGATGTATTAAAAAAAAAGTAGTGAATTGGAAAATGTTTCCCATCAAGTTGTTTGCTTTTTATATATAAATGTACCACTGAATTTCACTTGTAATAAGCATATTTATTGTACAGCAATTAGACCTAAAGAAAACAGTAACTATTATATGAGTTATAGTACATGTAGCTTTAATTGATAAGTGTGATTGTTTTGACAGCCAGTTGCCTATGATGAATGCCCTACTGAAGGGTAAGACACAGTTTAAGATAGGACAACTACGTCATCATAACTACCTACAGCTGTTTACACATATCCTGGGACTGATGGAGGCCATGCAGCCGCTGGTGTTCAGACGGGAATACACAGCCAGTCACAGTGATATTCTGGAGTCCTACTTGTCACTGTTACAGGTCAGTACTGTCAATGTTACATCCTGGATTTTTACTTGTCACTCTTACAGTTCAGTACAGTCTAATTTTTAAGTCTCACTTGTCACTTTTACAGGTCAGGTCAGGTCAGTCAGAGGAAGTCTTTATGTTTAGAACAATTGGAGCCGGTATTTGCACTGAGGAAATTTAATTTCAGTATGGGCCTTAATTGGTAGACAGCTGGTATTCATTTCAATACAAAATTTCTTCTTATTTATTTGTTAACGTGGTCCAAATGGTGCCAAGTCATTACATGTACTTTGTATGTTGAGGACGTTACGTGCCGTCTTGTATAAAGTATGTCATAGTAGTCACTAGTTGGTGATCACCATGCAACACACAACTTTCATCATCTCACCCCAAGGTCAATGTCACTCACACTGAGAGTTAATGTACATTTGTCTCACCTGGAGGGTTCCATATCACTTACATACAGAAATAATTATAGTTTTTGTGTATGAGTCGTAACTTTGTCACCTTCAGGACCTTCCTCTCGGGGTCAAGATTACTACCAGGACCTTCCTCTCGTATCTAATTCAAGGTCAAGATAAGATCTCTCTCTCGAGGACAATGAAACAGTAATATTCTGTATTTAACTTACTTTGACTGGAAAACTAAAAACCTGTGCTAACTGCTTTGTAACACTGTAATATTATATTGTCACATGAAAATTCATTCTATTGACTATATTGCTGTGTGACACCTGGCCTACATTGTACGAATCATGTTTGTTTCAGCGTCATGGTATGGAGAGGGTCCTTGCTCCCATTGTGGCCAAATTCATCAGGTACCTGCAAAACTACATGATGTGTGAGCCTCAACATTCTATCAATGTCCTACAACCACATGTGGGGGTGTTCAGGTAAGATTACCAATGGGTTTGTTCAATATTGAATACAATTATAAGGTACATTGTAGTATAATTACAGGAAATGTTTGGTAGTATTATGTAGATAACATCTTTCTTTAAAGGGTACCCAGAAACACTCCTTTACTGGCAGGTATGTTTGACTCTGTGAACTGTGTCATGAAAAAGGTTGATTTTTTTTCAGTAACCTTGCTTCGGTCTACCCAGACATGCCCGCCCTGAAGTCACTGCTGGCAGGACTTACCCTACCCAGACAGACAGAGAGTGACTCTCCCCACCAGGGTGATATGACCCTGGGGCTGGCACGCCCGACCTCACCCTGGACAGTGGGACAGATTGCCCCTTACCTACAAAGACTGCAGAATGCCACAGACTCCTCAAGTAGGTCACCATCGTGATTGCACAGCAGGCATTGGACAACTCAATAATTGAAAAATACAATGAAAATATTGAAATACTGCAGTTATCTTGGTTTAGGTTACCTTTGGTTATTACAGTTGTGGGATCGCACAACGTTACACGATGTGCGGTGTGCGCACGATGTGTGCACGGTGTGTGAACGGTGTGTGCACGATGGGCGAACGATAAAAAGCTGGACGATCATTGCTTGCGCACATATGTGCACACGATGGACGGACGTTGTGCGATAACAATCGTGGTTGGTGTAAATTGAGGAATGCCTCAACAGTATATACGGTTTCATGTTTAAACTTATAAACTTGATGTTTACGTATGTTTCTATATTCTAGCAAAATCTATAAACTTATCTTTCTGTCTATACATTCTTATATTTAGAAATTGTATTTTCTGTGTTTTTAAACAAACTTAATCGACACATGTAAAATTACAACACAATCCCGTATACAGGTAAACATAACCACTTTGTACTTGTACCTGGACCATAGTTTTCTCACCGCCTGGGGCACTTACGTAACTCGTCGGGTAAGGCCGGGGGTGTGAAAATCCAGGTGAAGGGGAGCTATAGGCAAATGAATGCAAATAACAAATAATATTCATTACGGTCAAACAGTATCGCATATCAACTCTGTGTGTCAGGCACTGGTCAGGTAAAACTCTGGACACTCATCAAATTGTTATTTACCTGTTCTGTTACTTTGGAGCCAAACCCATTCTTGACAGTCTAACGGTCGCTGTAATACTGTGTAACACGCATTGTGAAATTGCATAATCTAGATTATTGTGATGAGAAATTACAGATATATACACAGTGTACATTATCGCATACAAGCCTTCCGTATTTTTGTCATTCCGTAATTTTGATCTACAAATGATACCAAATAGCACAGTTGTGCGGAGAGAAGCGCACAACGGGGCGTACGATTGCTAAATCGCAAATTTGTTGTGCGCACCATGTGTGGACGATGTACGGACGGTGTGTGAACGATGTATGCACGGTGTGCGCACGCTATTTTTGGTGCGTTGTGCGGTCCCACAACTGTACTTCCTGTTGTACACTTTAAAATATTTTTATTGGTTCATGTTAAAGATCAGCTATGCAGTTTGGGATTATTTTCTTTATTTTCTTGCACAAGTAACATCACTGTTTTTTACATGATTATAGTAAATAAACGCCGACTTTCTTTTGGAACAATTTATTTTGCGGGAATATATCACAACCAGGTTTTTCTACAATTTCAAGGCATAATTTTATTTCAAAACAAATTGATGTAACTTATTCAGAAAGAAAACTAAGTTGTAATAGTTCTCTTTTGAAAAAGTTTATGTCAAGCTCCACAAATGTCAAAAATAGACATTAAGGAAAATATTTTTTTAATCTTTAAATCTTTCAGATATTCTGGACGTATTGCAAGACCTGGATGAGACTTCAAAGAGAAAAGTGGATATCTTGGAACACTTCCTGGTATGAAGTAACATCAACAGTCTTATCAGTTTTGGTGAATTCAAACCATTGAACTGTATATGTAATTTACTTATTTTCATGTGGAATGAGGCTTTTGCTGCTTTTTTCTGAATGCAGCAGATTAGTATTTGAGGATCTCATTGTTAACTTTCAGTGCCCTGAGTTATGGCCCTTTGTTCACCATGCATCACTAAGTACCCTTTGGGACTGTGGAATGTCACCTACTGAAATCTGGTATCATGCCCTACTATATACAGAGTTATGGCCCTTTGTGTACCATGCATCACTAAGTACCCTTTGGGACTGTGGAATGTCACCTACTGAAATCTGGTATCATGCCCTACTTTATACAGAGTTATGGCCCTTTGTTCACCATGCATCACTCAGTACCCTTTGGGACTGTGGAATGTCACCTACTGAAATCTGGTATCATGCCCTACTATATACAGAGTTATGGCCATTTGTTCACCATGCATCACTAAGTACCCTTTGGGGCTGTGGAATGTCACCTACTGAAATCTGGTATCATGCCCTACTCTATACAGAGTTATGACCATTTATTTTATTTCTATCACAATGTATGTTGTGATGTTGAGGACAACAGATTGCTCACAATATTTTGCCTTGTTTATAATGGGTTGTCCAAATGGGAGATTTTAGAAATAATGATACTGGTAAATCACTTGTGTAATGCGGCCCAAGGGATATAAATAAGGATACTGGTAAATCACTTGTGTAATGCGGCCCAAGGGGTATAAATAAGGATACTGGTAAATCACTTGTGTAATGCAGCCCAAGGGATATGAATAAGGATACTGGTAAATCACTTGTGTAATGCGGCCCAAGGGATATGAATAAGGATACTGGTAAATCACTTGTGTAATGCGGCCCAAGGGATATAAATAAGGATACTGGTAAATCACTTGTGTAATGCGGCCCAAGGGATATAAATAAGGATACTGGTAAATCACTTGTGTAATGCAGCCCAAGGGATATAAATAAGGGGTTTGCATTTATGTATATAGTGTTATAGAAAATAAGAAGAAGTTGATACTTTCTTTGTAAAGTTTGCTGTATGCAGTACACTTTTGTTGCATATAAGTTTTACTATATATTAAACACTGGTTACAGGGAGACCTGAAAAAGCTGCTGTTGGATCTAAATGATAAGATCAGGAACACATGCTACTCGCTGATCATGCGATACGTCCGCCAGGTGCCAAGGTGAGATAATAGTCAATAATTTGAAGGCTGAGGTAGTGCAATACTGTTTTACTATACTGTCTCATGGACTTGATAGCCATTACTCCATGAATATCAAACAGAATGAAGTAAAATGTGATATCTAATTTACAGTTTTTCTTGAGTATTTAGAATTGTGATGGTAATAAAAGCAAATAAAACAAATATCTCCTATCTCTGTGACTACCAAAATCTTTTAAGATTGTCTGCTGCTGCATAAGTTCAAGGGTTGCTCATCTCCGAGAGGATTTGCTTGAGTTATCTCCCATAGTATTATATGCAGGATGTAGCCCATTATGGAACATTTCCCATAACAATGTACCTGTCCATAGGGAAATTTCTTTTATAAACTTTTAGTAGACAATTGTTGCGTAGAATTTGTGTTGTTGCAGATAGGAGAAATCTGCATTATTATGGCATGTATTTTTTTTGCTGTCCTACTTAACATCTCTTTGAGCCGAGTTAAAAATTACCACTTAAGAAATTTTGTTTTGATATTACTCAATTAATCGCCAGAAAGCCAAGTGGATAGGACAAGTGAAAAAGAAAGTAGGTTGATACTAAAGTTTATTAGGACGTCAATGTAGTGAATTGTTTTATTAGGCAGTAGTATAACTGGTACTGTATCAACAGTTTCATATAAATCAAGTCAAAGTTTGGCGAGATCTGAAATCTTGCAACAATCCAAAATGTTACAGTAATGATGATGCTATAGCAAACGATGAAAATTGAGTAATTCTACAAAATAAAAGTCAAATAAAAAAGGCAATGTAGGTTTGATGGGTAGTAGTTTATATTAGTCACAGATCTAGATATCTCATTACTGTTCCCGTATTTGACTGAATTTTCGACTCTTTGTCCTGTGTACAGGTCAGCCGTACAGTTCCTTGGCAGTTTTCTCCAGTGTCTGGACAGTGACAATTCTGACATCATTACCAGTGCTCTGAAAAACCTGCCGGAGTTCTGCGTTCTATGTCAAGGTGGGTCAAATTTCAAGTCTACATTGTCTTGTCTGTAATATGTGAGGCATGATAGATTCTAAATTCTCAGTCGCTCAACTCATAACTATTCTTATATAAATTATAATAATTTAAACTCCAACCCTTTCCTTCTAGGTCCAATAGAACATGTGATAGCTACAGAGAACTTTATTGTATCCTGTCAGTCTATTGATTATACTGAAGTCATATCAAATGTCAAATCAAGTTTACCTAAAACAACAGAAGACATATTGTTAGCTTACATATATATTATTAAGTGGTATTTTTTTTTTAAAGCGCATTTTTTAATTATGATTGAGCTAATTGAAATTTCTGTTTATTGGTTCCTATTGCATATATATGATGGATGAGCCATTTCATTAATGTATGCGTTAAAATTTGATAATGCTCTAAAATTTGAGAGTGCTCAAATCAGTATGTTTTCCTAAATTTACACTGTCCAGGTTCTTTCTTAAGTTCATTTAATCATTTTAAAACTTGTTATTATACTGTTTTTAAAGTTTTTCATATAAACATGTAAAAAGAGCATTCATAAACATTTTTACTTTGATATATTTTCATTTAACATGGTAGGTCTTACTCTTATTCATGAATTAATCTTCAGAAGAAATGAAAACAACTCAAAGCATGCATTAACATTCAGGGACATACTTCTAGTCTGCCTACTGTATGTTTTCATTGAGTTCAATGATAGTTTAAAATGGTGAAGCTATACAAAGGCACAGCAAGACATAGTCCCAGAATATTAAAAATATACATACAGGAAACCTTCTAGAGGTAAATGGTATTCCCCAGAGAAATGTCTACTTTTTATTTCACATACTGGTATGCAATTTTAACTGGGAGAAATGTATGATTTTTTTTAATGCATTTACTTGTACACTTCATATTCATGATCAGCTTATTGTAAGTTTTTCACTGGATTTTTTTTGATTTTTTTTGTTTTTTTTTACATGATGGATTGTACTCCAGTCATAGATTAAGTGTTGTATTCTGGCAATTAACGTTGACATATTTAAATGCCACCGCCATCATATTTAACTTTCTTATTAATTACATGTGAGGATTCACTCTAATATACTAATTACAAAAGTTATGGAATTGAAAATTAAAGGAAATTATGTTGATGATCAATTCGTAGATAGATCAGCTGAAATGTTGCTTGTAGCTACCAGTATGTATAAAGTATCACCCAAGACTTTATAAGATAACGATAATTTATAATGTACATGTCTCCCTACAGACCATGCAGATGTGCTGCTCCAAAAGGCCTTCCTGGTGGGTACCACTACCTCTATAGAGACCAGTACCTACATCACAGAGGCGTTACAGACTCTGAACCTGGAGACCACGCTAATCGCTAGCAAGTTAGATGGCTGATGTACGGAGACTCACTGCCAGCAAAACAGACAACTCATGTTCAGTCCGACAGGAGATGACGTTCAGCACCAACAAGATAGATCTCCAATTTATGAATCCTCAGTCTGGGGACCATGTTCATCACCAGAGAGCTGGACATTTATAAGTTGCCTCTCAGTTTAGAGATAACACTAATCTCCAGCAAGGTATAAAAATCGGATTATGGACCCCAAGTTTAGGGACCAAGCTTACTGCCAATGAGTTGGCATACTGCCAATAAGTAAGCTTGCTGATGTATAGTCCCTCAGTCTAGGAACCATACTTATCATCAATAAGTTAAATTCTGATGCATATTGCCTTTGTCTGAGGACTGGATCCTTCTTTAAGTTGAACATTTAAAGCATGGACACAGAGTACATAGATAGTCCTATATCTGAATGGAACTCGGGAGCAATAACGTGAGAATGTATCCTGTATCAGATGTGATGTTTTGGTTACTGATTGAAGACTTCTGAAGACATCAATAGTGCTTTGATATTAACAGTGTGACTACTGTAGGAAGGAAAAAACTGTTCCTAAATTGTTTTTCATGGACTGATCAGGATCTTTAAAATTGCTTTAAATAAATGCAGAATGTCCATTTGAAGAACTTTGTTAATGAAACTCACCTGAAAAGTGCTACAAAGTGTGAGTGCATGTAATGCAGATGACATATTGTTATTGAGTAAACTATAAACAATAAATCAGTATTAAATACTTAACATAGTTCTGTCTTTATACGCTTGTCTAATTTGACGGAAGTATTATGGTATGGGGCTGTCCATCCGTCCGGCGTAAACTTTTGTTTGTCCGGCAATCTCCTCCTAAATTTTTCAACAGATCTCTTTGAAACTTGGTATACATTATAATCATGATATGAAGTTGTGTCTACCTTAAAAGAATTTTGATTCGCCGATTTTTGCAAAAGTTCATTTCAGTATCAGGGACGTAACCAGGACTATGAGTATGTGGAAGCATACGAAGCGCGAGTAGGGGGTTGGGGGTTAACCCCCCCACCCCCAAGATTTTTTTTGAATCTGGAACCCATTCTGGTGCAGTTTGAGACATAAAATACTTATCATTTTCACATTTGGCTTGTAGTATTTTTTATCAAATGCATTATAATTAGTTCCATATGAACAATTAGGAACATTTTCGTTAAATAGTCAATAAAAGAAACAATATCAATGAGATTATGAATTCACTGAGGGCCCAGGATTATATGAGTTGTTAAAGTTTATCACATACAGTTCTACGATGTGATCCTTGTTAAAAGTATACTTGAAAAAATTACGTGGAAGCCCGTGCGTACGCCTGGTTACGTCCCTGAGTATTTGTTTTTTTTGTCCGGAGATTTTCTCCTTCATTTTTTATAGCATGTGGGCTAACCACTCTTAGAATGATGCAGATCTTATTTCAATGTAAGAAAGTATATAACACTATATGGCATTCGACGGGCGTATATTGTTCCGCCCCGCGGTACTTTGTAGTCCCATGTGTGTTTACTGCAGTTGCAGACCAAGTTGCATAACTGTCACAAACTTAAGTTTGGTAATTATACCACTAGATCTGTCAGATATACAGCAGTGTTATTGCTCGTATTTTCTTTTAATAGAATAAAAAATCTGAAAGTCAAACTCATCTTTGCCACCATAATGATTTTTCTTTTAAATATAATTAAGTTAAAAAAACACCATATTCAGTGTGTTAGGATTTAAGTGTCATAGAACTTTTTAAAGACTGAAAAAGCCCAAGTAACTTGTGTTATATTTAGTCTATACATATGTAGTAGCTAACTACTTAACTTGCATGCTAATTCCTCCTCAATTTTACTATAAAAAATCTTCCACCAGCACAACTTAAAAAAAAAAGCAATAAAAACAGTTCAAAATTTATTAAATATTGAGTGTTTAAAACCATTAATTGGTGTTACATACCATTGCACTTGATAACTTTTATCAATATTAAATGTATGACATGTTCATGTTTATAATTAGTTATTTTTAATTCAGCCATACAATTAACAATGTTGCAAGCATGCATGCCGGGCAAAACAAGTAATAAATAAGTAAGGTTTTGTGTATTGTTGGATTTCTTGAAGAATAAACTTATAATATGATTAACCATATTTTAATGATAATTCTATCATCAAAGTAAAAACTTCACTTTAAAATGGCTGAATGAAACTATATAAATTTGTAATCAGGAATAAATTTCTTTTTTCTCATTCGTGATTCTTTGAATGAAATGAGATATAATGAGCATTAAAAACTGTAGGACACATTGTGACACAGTAATCATGAATCACTGCTACTTTTAATATAACAATCTGTTACAGTTACAAAGTATCATTGTACTAATGTAATACAGTAAAAAATTACCATAAGCAATGTAGCAATGTACTACAGTAAAAAGTATTAGTCACAAATTGTTGATATAGTGTAACAATGCATTACAGTAACAGACTGTACACAGTAACAAGGTATCCCTGTAATAAAAGTATTACATTTTGATGTAGCATAAATAACACATAAGCAAGGTTTACAGTTACTAGTAACAAAGTATTACTCTTATCAGCTGGATGATTGGAATGTTGGACACTTTTACACAGCATAATAACACAGAAATTGTAACACCAAATATTTCCCACAAGCGTAATAGCATTAAACGAACAGTATAACACAAAAAACTTAAATAACATGATAAATACCAGACGTTTAAAACCTTATCTGGGATGGTCGACAACACATATGAAAGACTTCGATTTTAATTTTAGAAAATACCAGAACATGAGAAATGTCACACTTTCAAAAACGCATATTTTGTCCGATATGTTCTCAATTTTTGATCTGACATCCTTACATCCTCTCTGTTCATTCTACACGGCCTTTTAAACACATTTCCAAATCACTCAGCAGTGCAAGTGATAATGCATACACTCTATATAAACATCCAACATATTATAGTGTGATAATCTCCCCTGATAGGGTCAGGGCGGTAAATAATGTTTTAATATAAGTTGCTTCCATTGGGTCACACATTTGTACCATTGCCGTGTGCTTCTACTGGGTGTGGGACTGGTACTTCATCATCTGTTAAAGAGAGGGTAAGGTCAGTGACTTCATCATTTAAACAAGTTGTTAGAAATCAAACTACTGAAGTATGGTACACTTTACAAGCCAATCAAAACGTCAATTGTGTAGTACCTTTGTATTAATAATAGATTACAAGCCACTACAGAATAAAGGATTAACTATTTACTGTACAAATGCAGAGTCACTTCAATGGTTATTTTACAATGAAAATATCTCGGACCGTAGACAAAAATGTTAATGAAAATATCCACTACTAAAGTTTAAAGTCACAATGTGGTGTTGGCATTCTTGTAAGGTATCATGGATTTGCTCTAGTATTTTTGTACATGCTTAAATTTAAAATTATTTGAATACAGTATTCACAAACTTACTTTTCAAAGCCAATAGTGCTCTCAAACCATCAACTTCTTTCTTCAGTTTTTGATATTCCTGAAATTCAAAATTACACTAATATGTAAATTTCATATTGCATTACTTTATATTTATGTGCAACAATGAAATTTCAGATGAAAGATATATTTTGGAGACAAAATTTGAGCTGATATCCCTCCACTTCAATTTCAGATAAATCCGTGAAGCAGTATCTCACCTCCTTACACTGATAAAGTGTATCAAAGTCACCCTTCTCCTCTTTCTCCTGCCGTTTCTCTTGTTCTGCTGCGGTTTTGGCAATGACTTGTTGGACATTTTCTGACATACAATATCCAGCCTTTATGAATATTTTCTTTAAATGCTTGTCGTAGCCCTAAAAATACAAAGTCATCAATATCTTATAATACGCTTATAAAAGTAGTCGTCAATCATCTATCTAGAATAAAAATTTGATTTCAATTATTCAATTATTTGAATGAAGATTTGAACTGTTATAAATATTTCTTGATCTTACTGGTGAGGAAGTTGTAAAACTCCTGTACAAGACTTGTTTTCATCAAGTACAGTTTAAACCCTGCTGAGGTTGATTTAGGTTGACCACACAACTAGTGAATATATATGTTATCCAGGTGTTAAAACTATTGTGACACTGTAACTATGGGCTCTTGAAATAGGTATGTTTATAAAGCATTATTTAGAACTTATCATGGTAGGTTATTGCACACCATTCAGTTTGTCAAGACAAATGTAGTAGTTATAACAGTAGTGCCACATCTATGTAGTTTGTTGCTGGTCTATGTCAAGGCTGTTACGTAACTATTAACATGCATCAGTACACATGTACTGTATTCTGGTACATATATCCTGTATATCTTATTAATTATTAACTCATTACATTTTCATTGAAGCAAAACGGTAAAGTTAAAATGCTGGAATTTTCCTACGCCTCGAAGTGGGGACCTGTTCAACCTGGAGGGGTATTGGCCACATCCCACTTACTAGCAGCATATTAAAAAAATGAAGACAGTAAATATTGAAAAAGAATTAAACTTATTTTATGAAATCATAATTGATCATGATAATAACTTATTTCATCTTGACTTTCTAGTATTTAAATCCTGACCTTTTGAGTGATTTCTTCACGTTGGTACTGGCCCTGTAGGAGATCCCATCCCAGGCGTAGTTGGGGTGACAGGTGTGGGTACACTAACATGGAATGTTCTGCACATACCAATGGTGTGGAGAAGACCAGCTTATAATTACACTTACTGTACTCTGTCACATTGATTATCTCGTTACTCTCTGCACACTCAAATACAACCTGTTACAGAGGAAAAGTATCACATATGTAAATATTATTGACACCTTGATATCTTTCTAAAATAGTAAATTAACAATTAAAGACAAACATATGGTGTATAATAAGTATCTGGATCAAGGACATAGATTGAGTGGTTGCTGTACCAGTGTTCAGTGTAATACAACCAAAAAATTTACCCAAAGGCCTGGGATGTGCCCTATAGGAGCCAAACATACTATTTCGTAAATAAGTTTTGTAATTTGTATTGAATGAGATATAAATGAAGCCATCAAAGAACTATCACTCCAGTATAACTGGAGGTAAATGTGTCGGGTATGATCAGAAAACATTATGAAGGTACCATGAATGGTTCAGCAACATAACAAATCCCAGCAATGCTAGTGTGGACTGTATCTACTGAACCATATCATTTCATTCTTTATCAATAAGAAAATCAGGACATGTGGTGTCATTTATTACATACAGGTCTGTTTCCTTATTTTAAGGTCAAGGTTACCGTAAGGGATCAAAGTTCAAATCATTACAATGCTTGTGCAGACTGTAATTAATATGACAAGATAGTGTGTGACATAACATACACAGATCTGTACCTTTAGACATTCACAAAAATGAAATCAAATGTCCAACCACACCAATACTTTATGAACTTTGACTACTTAACTGTTCAACAGTTCAAGTTTGGTGAAACATCTGAAACGGTTGTAACACGATTATTATTTTATATGTGTTCCTCTCTGTTTCTCTGTCTTATATATACAGTATCAGGTACCTTTGTAGTTCTGGAAATGTCTCCACATCTCTCTCCTTCCCTCATAACCATGGCAACAAACTTATTGTCCTTTATTTCCCATTCCTGCCATACTCTACAACCAGCAACAATGGACGTTAGAAATAAAAACAACATTAGAAAATTGCAAAATATTGCTTAAAAAATGCAGGGAAAGCACTTTAATTTTGTTCTGAACAGTCTGCAGGCACAATTTTGAATCAGCAACAACAGTATTACAAAAGAACAAGGTTATTTCACCAATGAAGAAACCACAGTGTTGGCTCTACCCTAAACGTTATTATTACAATAATTCACATCAGATTTTACAATAAATCACATCTCCTCCTACACAAACCTACCCTAACACTCCATGGAATGGATTCCATCTGTATGACTGCTCATGTTGTGTCACATTCGAAAACGGACAAAATTCATACTTGTAACTGAAAATATAAGAGAAAGTACAAAATTAAGGTATACAAATATTTCTTTTCTGTATATTATTAAATTCAAAACATTAAAAATTAAGTTCTAGCAAGCAGACAATCACTCAGAATATCAATAGTACATGCATTCCTTCTTGAAAATTAATAAATGTATTTGATTTGTCAAACTTCTAAAAAGGTAAGATGTTTTATTCTCCCACACCTGACAGATTTATCTCCCGTTTTGCCGGTGCTAGATTTATCTGTCTCCGCCCTAGGGTTGAGACGGGGGGATTCCCCTATTCATAACAATGGCATGACGTCACTTCAACAATACAATGACGTCACGTCAACAATCCATCAACAAATTGCCTGTATGTGTTTTGGGTCCATGTTTACCTTTATTTAACATTAAAATACTGTTAGATATGTGAGAAAAATAATCAATCGCTACTGGTTGTGTAAGCCTCGTTCTGGGCAAAAAATCTTAGTCCTCGGGTTGAGATTTCTCTATCTTACACAACCAGTAGCGATAGATTCTATTAAACAATATGGAAATACAAAAATCTGCTCCTTCTAAAAACAAAATGAATTTAAATGAATTGGACCTTCTTTATAAATTATCAAAGCTTTCAAAAAAAGGCCTGAAAACTGGCTCCATCTACATTGTGGCAGATTATCCAATATTACATGTTTTTTGAAAAGTGTCATTTCATCACTGACATGGTAGAATATTTATCTATAAATAAAGCATACAATTTTTAACATTTCAGGAAAAATAAACATTGATAACAACGATACATTTATAATGCTATGTTAAACATACACTTCAACCTTTACACACATCAAGATAGACAGAATACATACCCTATTATCAGTTTTTCAAAGCATTTGTGTTCAAAGTTCCTCAAGTGTGGAGGGCCGGAGAAATTAGATGGTTTTACACGCATCTTCAACTTTTGTTCATCATTGTTTACTCCAACATTGTAATTGTTGAAACTAAAATGAAAAAAACAATTTGAACAACAAACTCAATTTAAAGTGTACATTGTCGATAAATACTGATGTCTTCCCCCATAGCATTAGGTAAAGTAGATGATCTGAAAGTAACATCAGTGAAGGCTCAAACTTCAACTACACATAGGTATGTATGTACTAAATAATTTCCTTTGGAATTAGATGATAGCTATTAGATGTGCCTGAACTTGTTTAAATGATTGGTTAAGAAAAGCAGTATGTCAATTGAATTAATATAACATAATTATATATATGGTGTAATTTCTTATCCAGCCTAATAGTATGGTTTCATGTTCACTTACCCATAATTTGAGGGCTCCTCAACAATTTTCATATTGACAACTTCTCCATCTGAATATAAAACAGACAAACTTCAAGTGTCATTTAAACCATGCATAATATTCAACATGACTTTTCCATAAAAACTGAAAATTTTGAATTAATATCAAATCTTGCATTTTCACTTGGGTTTTTGGACAGATAAGATCACCAATCATAACTGTTTATACTCCATTTTAGTGTTTACTACTAACTTTGTCTTGTCTTCTTCTTTCACAAGAGGGTCACTTAGTATGAAGAGATGACTGTTCCTGTACTCAGCAGTTATATTTATCAATGGTACTGGATCACCCTCAACCGTGGAAAGGTCTCTGGCAATTTAACTACCTTTTGACTGTTTTAAATTGTTTTTATCATATTATCTATGCCAAATGTTATTCATCTGAAATATATAGGCCTAGTCGGTTGTTGCTTGTCTTGCCATGTTTAACATATAACGACTTTTGAATAAAATTTACTTGACTTTACTTCATTTTTTTTTTTTTAGCAAGACAGGTTATTTCATTTCAAATCAATTTTATTGCATGTAAGACACATGCAATAGGGTTTTACATGATGCAATAGTCTCTGGACCCTATTGCTAGCGACTACTGGTTTATTTGGGATACTGAAAGTGGGTTTTGGATTGAAGCTAGTACTAATATTAATACCCGGCCTCCACTGACGACGCAATATGTAAAAAAAAATCTCTCGTCGTCAGAAAGCTACGTTATCGCAGCTAGATTGATGCTGATGCCAGTGACGGGATGTGCATACTCCAACAATGTTAGAGGTTTTACACGGCGAAAAACTTTTGTCAGGCGCCGCGTCGCAGTCGGCAAAATCATATCCGATAGAAAAAAAAGGCCGACCAGCGGACTCTCATGTTATAGTAGTACTAATATTAATACCCGGCCTCCTCTGTCCCGTATATAAAAAAATCTCTCGTCGTCAGAAAGCTACGTTATCGCAGCTAATATGTGCACTGCTGATTTAGGATGTATCGGCCAGTGTTTGTGCGTTATTATTTCTAGCCGGTGCCTGAAAATAGCTGTCGGATCATCTTTGACGATATACCTGAAGAAAGGAAACATCCCAGATATAATATCACTAAAACAAAGCCTGTATTCATCACGTCCATGTTCGTCTCCATTTGCTTACAGTGTCCACCATAAGGTTCGTGGTGAGTAACACGTTTGTCAATAAAACTCTTTGATAAAAAGCGCTGAGATGACCTAGATTGACACATATATTTGGTGATACTAAACAACATCTAGTTAACTCTGGAACGTTCCCATATGAATGAATTTTTTTTCAAAGAGGTACTTTTTTACGTGAATTATGTTATTTAGTTCATTGTATAAAACTCAATATTATCCTGAACTCACGAAATGTCTAATATTATCCTTAACACACTAGTTCATATTCAAATACATAGCTGAACCGTCACAAAATATTGTGTCTAAGTAACTTAACTTTTGATGGGCGAGTACAAAACCCGAAATGCACTCAGGCGTGGAGAGTTTTTTGTTGATTTATTGTATATATTAGGCTGTATCTCCTATAATATATCATGGATTTTCATTCGGATACCAGTCTAGGAAAGTTAATTTTATACCCATCACAATGATTTAAGTTATGCGTACCATTATTTAATATTGAAAGTGAAAGTGGTGGCCGGAATGAACCACTATGAAATAAAAATGGCAATATTTTCAACTGTTTTCGTTCTAATAAATACTCATATCTCAAAAACTACTGAACCGATTTTTGTTCGGAGACCACTCTGGTCAAGGGAATTTTGCACTTGTTAATATGATACCAACTGTTCAAACACATCTTTCATATTAATCGTCATTCATATTGAAAGTGGTGGCCGGAATGAATCGAAATCGTTTGAAAAATGACGAAAAAAGTATAACTTTCTCGTAACTTTCTGTCTTTTTTTACCCATTACTCGTTAATCGCAGAACTGATTTTTGTTCGGTGACCACTCTAAGCAAGATAATTTTATAATCTTTAAGCTGATATAATTTTCATTAATATACATTACAAACTCGATGCAAAAGTGGTGGCCGGAATGAACCACTATGAACGTAAATTTCTACATTATCGGGTATGCTAAAACAACACAGGCTAAACAATCGGTAGTGCAATACAAGGGAAATGCAAGGGAAGTAACTCGAAATGAAAAATGGATTACGCGTAGAACTTTTAGCCATTCTTACAGGCTCTGCGACGAGGACACAGTTCTGCATAAGAGCCCATTTTATTTTATTTTATTTTTTTATATTTTTTATATATGCTTTCAATTTACCGCACAGAATATTTATTTTCAAAACCTACGATGTTCTGAACATAACCAATCTTCTTTCGTATCATCAATATTTGCACATCCTATATGTTTCCATGTTTTACAATGAATTCTACCTGTACTCCAATCACAACCAATCATCTCATCCATCCAATCTGGTAACCGACATGAACAGCTACAATTGATAGTTATATTATGGTTATTTGCCTTTTTTTATTTGTGATGCTATTTAAACAAATTGTGGAAACGGTCTAAAGTGCCCCTTTTCCAAACACCAAATCAAATGGTCCCGCATTTGGTTTTCAATGAAGTTGGTTTTTTGCTTGAAGGAATTTCCGTAAAAACAAAATTCTACCATATTTGCTATTGCAAAAAGTCCACAGTCGTAACCATTATTTTGTTCCTGTACATAAAAAATTTTGATCGGAATACCACCTTTATCATGGCCGTAAATGCTACACAGCTGAAGTTTGATCGAGGGAGTATTTACTGTATGATTTTCTTTAGATGCTAAACTGTCTAGAACAGATATTTCACCATTGCTTGTTTGGAAACTAGTAACCCAGTGATTGTCAACTGAAAACCATTCAAATCAGGAAATTGTTTAGACAATATTGTTTGTATTGAGTTAATTATATCAGAACAAACCCATGCTTTATTGAGAATTTTAAGTTTATGACTTTCATCTAAATTACCTACCCAAGGCGTCTGTACCGAGTCTGTGTCTTCACTGACTCTACGTTTTTTAACAAGTTGTACATTATCTTCACTAATATTACATGTAACAGAGTTGTCTAATTGAAATCTAAGTTTCTTTTTTGAACCTGCTTCTTTGTTTACAGAGTTAAAGAATTTCTCTTTTTTAATCGATTGCTTGTTAGGAGTCTTTGTTTGCTTGATAGGAGTCTTTGTTTGCTTGATAGGAGTCTTTGATTTATCTTTTATTTTCGTAGATTTTGGCGTTTTAGGTGGCGTGATATCTACCATTACTGTATCATTATCTTGGTTTAGCGTGACTGAATCGGGTGCCGCAATTACCTCCCTGTCATAATCGTTACCTCTAGGGTTTTTTTCTACCGGACTTTTTATCATTTCTTTTTAAACTGTTCTGAAAACCGCTTGAGGTGAATGGGAACTGAATCGTTATGGAGGTTGTTAGCACCACAATGTAAGACAATATTGTCAAAATTGGGCACTAACTCCTCAATCTCGTCCCACATCTCCTCAATGCGGTAGCCACTACGGGAGATGACGAAGATGTCATCACTAGGACGCAAGTACCTGTGGAAATGTAGTGTTGTAGAGAACCTCTACCATAATTGGATGATGATCCGAGGTATTACTGGCAAGGTCGTCAATTCTGACGATTGAGGGCATGTCCTGTTCCTGGCAGTACGTTTGATGAACTAGGACATAGTCAATAGTCGAGTTATCTCTGCCATTTGGATGCTCAAAGGTTTCTTTGGTGTACTCGGCTTGGAATCCACACTCCTTCATAAATCGGTTTAGTATTGACTGACGAGAAGAGGTCTTTGTGAGATCACAGTTCATGTCGCCGAGGATGAAAACATCATGTGTATTAAAATATTTCCTTGTAATCTCCTGTAGGATGATCAAGCAGTCCTCATACATAGAATATGAATTTCTGGAATTTCGGCATGACATATAGACGGAAACAATAACAAGTGGGCGGGGTTTGCCTTTGACTTCCACACATACTATTCGTTCATTTCCTTCTTCTAGTTCAGTTACTAGGTGATCAATGCTTGTACACCATAATATTGCAACTCCCCCGTAGCCCCTTGGTCTTTGCGTAGGTGGATGTGGGTTGTGTTGGTCTATAGATTTACCTAAACAGCAGAATTTTCTTCGCGTATTGCGCAGCTTATACAGTTCATGGTCGAGGAGCCAATGTTCCTGTAAACAAATATTTGAGGCCATATTGGTCAAATTCTCGATACAGTCTAAGGTGTTGAGGAAGTTTTTACAATTATATGAAACCATTCCTAGCTTTGCTATATTGGCGTCCTTCGTGTTGGGCTGACATCTGAAAAAGACTCTGCAGTCGAGTTAGGACATGGAGTGTTGTTTGTGACTAACATGATGGATTCCTCTAGCTTATCTATGCCCGTATCCTCTGCATGTTCTTCTACACTTCCTTGTGTGAAAGGTTTCAATGTGGAGTTGTTGGAATCATATAAGCCTGTAGCTCCGGATGGTACATTATTCCCGGACACCCGTGCACGAGTAGTTATTTCGTCAGCAACTTGATCGACTGCTTGCTGGAAGGTCTTTCTTTTTGTCGACACATTTAGTTTCTCCTGTCCCGCTGTTTCCTTGGAAGTCTGGTTCTGGTTGATATTTGGTTTTCTTATCAATGGAGGTCCTTGATAATATGCTGTGGGTGGTGTGTGTTGATGATACATCCCTGGGGGTGGTCCACAAAAGGGCTGCTGCTGTATGTTCTGAGGTTGGCCGAGTCGTTCTATCCTCTCAATCCTACCTATAAGTTGATTCATGTCGATGTCTTGAATTTTCCCTGCAAGACTTCTTCGTTCTTCTAGTGAACTGATCTGGTGATAAAGTTGCTCCACTTTCAGGTTGATTACTGTATTTTCCAGATCATTCACTCTATCACTTGCTGAAGTATGAGTTTTAACCTCTCGAGAGTCATCCTTCGCATAGCCGGCCGGTGTCCCCTGTGATTCATTGACTTTACAGCCACTGATAGAGTTACAATTACATGGTAAGGTATTATCTGACATAGATGAGTTTACTTCATTCTTAAAATTTTGTTTGTATCCTCATTTTTTTCTTTATTTATTTTTTCTTCCAGGTGTTCAATATGGGACTGAAGTCTGGATACATTTTTAGTAACCTCCCTTACAGCCATCTTTTCTTTTTTGAGCTCGTCCTCCCTTTTCCTCAATTTCAACTCTTGTTGGCGTAGTTGCGTGGAGTCTTTACCCAGGGCTTGGGTGCACTCATGAGTAGACTGAGAGGTAGGGGTGTCTGTTGAGCAGGATTTCCCATCGCCCTCTATAATAGAGTTACTTTTCGGAGCAGACAGGTTGGTTGAGGAGTTCATACATCTTGTATTTACAACACTCGTCTGCATATTGGTCTGTAGTGATTTTAGATGCTCCACTTGACTCACGCTAGTTCGGGGAAGCTTGGTATGCAGGCTGCTGTCTATGATGTTCTTACCGCAGGCACGATCAGCATAAGGAGTCAGTATGATGTTGCCTTCAATATTGGATATAGAAGAATACTGAGCAGGTAAAACTAGTTGACTTTTTGCTGTTGAGATAGTGGTACAAAGGTCGCGATTGGCTACCTGACTATGGCTAGGCTCCCGACTTGGACTGTCGCTCTTTGTCCTGTATCGCACGATATTAGAACTAGAGCTTTTTCTTCTCTCCATCTGAGCTAGTAACTCGCTACATTTTTCTGAGATCTGATTGTTCAAATGCTTGAATGACTTATCGTTCATATAATTGATAATAGAGCGAAAATGGGACACGAATATATCAAGATCACATCCATTTACAAGGGCAGAAGAAGAAGTATGGTATAGGTTGATAGAGTAAATCTTACTAGCGGGAGTTCCCACACCTGAGTGCGTCACTTTCCACAGCTCACGGACACACAACCCGCTCTTTTCATAGGTCTCACTTTTATCTACCATGATACCATCAGTTAGTTTAACCGCTTTTTCCATCTGAACCCGATAAAATTCGTAGGTTGCAGTAGAGAATTTAAGTACCAGTCCGCCGCCTGTTGAGGTTACCTCACAATCTAAGCTCCTTTTCCCGGCAGAGATTTTCTTTCTAATCGCCGAAGATTTGTTCAGAGTATAACCAGCTTCCCTCGCACCAGTTGTCGCTTC